GTATTTCAATCTGTATTTCAATCTTTACAGAGAGAGGCTATCGGACACAGCCTGTTGGATAATGGCATTGTCCCAAGTGAATCTTCCCCCCCCCCCCATCTCTCCCACTTCTGCGGGTGCTGCTAACTGCCCTCTGTCTTTGAGCTCTTTGCTCTGCTACTTTTAAGGCTCACCGGGTTCTGGGAGATGGAGGGTCCGGAATGCTTTCTAGTGACAAGGTGTCAGCCAGCTGCTGCTCTGGCTCTGGCTGCTTCTCCTCTCCCATTATTTCCCAACATTCCCCCTCATCTGACTCTGAGCTGTGACCTCCTGCAAACCACAGTTGTAAATCTATACTGTCTTCCTCTTCCTCCTCCCTGGAAGGGTCAGGATGGGGAGGCAGTCTCCACCATTCCTCCTCTGCCCAGTCCCTAACAGGTGATGGGGTGGCAGAAAGTGTTTGGGTAGAGGACAAACAGCTAAGATGGTTAGCAGGGAAGATGGCGCCGGCAGTAAGCCTCCTGTGAGCCTCAACAGAGTGAGTAGGAGCTTTTACAGAATAATTACAATAATACAGAAAGACATTCAGAAAAAATCAAAGTTTTAGCCTGATAAAAGAATCCGGGAGTTACCAGGAGGTATTTCTTAAATCCTCCCCTTTCCTCCCCTATTCGAGGCTAATTACAACCTTTGAGCTCCTGTTGAATAAGGCCCTAGCACACGGCTAGAGAAGATAACTTAAATGGTTCTTACAAGACAGAATTATAAAGAACTGGGGATCCCTCTAGCTCAAGCACAAGCTGTTGAACCCCCTGCCCCAAAGAAAAAGCAGGCAAAAATTCCATATTATTTTAAACCAAAAGCAGAGGAAGTGAAAAGAAATAAAAACATAGAGAGCCTGCATCCGCACGAATGGTCTGTCGACCGTATCTCGTTCAGAAGGGGCATGGAAGCAGAGGGAGGAGGAGGAAAAGGAGTTGACCTGGCAACCGAGTTGGCACAGGCAACTACAGAAAGTACAGCCCTTGAGGCCCGACCAGAACAGGAGCCTCAGCTGGGAGACCCAGAAACCAAGTCAAAAGAATCCACCCATCAACCTATGCTTAGAGGAAAGGGGGGGTCCCCTGCCCCGACAGAGGTGGAGGAGTGGCTAAACGACACAAGAGCTCGACATCCAGACCTGGGCAGCTATAATTACATAATGACAGGGCTGTACAAAGATCTGTTGGAAGAACATCAAACTCAGCTAATTAAAGAACTGGGGCCTATTAAAAACTTTCTTTCAGAATGTTTGGGTTTGCTCACCTCCCTGATTGAACTAATCAGGAGGAAAGAGGATTGCCACTTTCACAAAGAAGCCATCAACAAGCCAAATGGAAATAAAACCCAGTCCAACACCAAAGAAAGGAAAACAAGCAGAGCCAAACTAGCCCAAGGAAAAGTACTGGCCACTAGGAAACCTTCCTTAAAGGGAAAGAGCCCAATGCATAAGAAGAAGCCGAAGAATGTGAAAATGGGTCGAAAGGCTAAGCTGCCCTCTCGGACTGGGAAAGTGAATTTCTCAAAGTTATTCAAGATTCTGGAGAACTCAAGCACAAAGAACTCCAACAAAACAACGCCAAATAAGAGCCAAAGCCCAAACATTTTAAATATACATCAGGTGACTAGCCCTCCAAGGCTAGCAAAACAATCGCTGCCCTCTAGTGGAAAATTAAAGGAAACTCCAGATCCAAAGCAAGAAACTCCCCAGAAGGGAGTACAAAAGAGCCAGAACTTAATTTTAATTAAACATAAATTAGTCCTCCTCCCTCTCTTCAAGCATGGAGGCCTTTCCACGCTTGCACAACAGAGAATTTATTTACTTAAGAAAATTGACTTAGTCATCAGAAGCCTTATACCAGCAGGAAATATTGTCAGCGTTAAATTTCTTCCTTTTGATATGGCCCAAAACAGAGTTGTGGTGACCTTTAAGGACTGGTCGGTAACTAAACAAATCATGGACAAGAGGGACAGGCTCCAGAGGGCTGGCCTGTTGGTGACCCGCCTTTTTGAAGAGTCCGGCGTTCCACCATCCCTCTTAGGAACACGTAAGCCGACTAGTCCGCGCACAGAATTGGAAATGGCTTCTGAAAACTGCAAACAAGGTCAACCGGAGGCAGTCAAAATTTCCAAACAGAAGGCTAAGCTCCAAAAACATTACTCCCTTCCAATGAACCCAAAAAGAAATCTTAAATGAAAAGGAGATGCTCTTTCTAGCCTCCCTTGAGCAAATTCAACAGTCCCAGGATGCGTTAATAGCTAGGTTACAAACCATTAAAAATCCTTATTCCGCCAAGGTTTTTCTGCTCCTTTGGAATTTAATTTTGCTACTAACACAACAAAGCCCTTATCCAACGAAGACTGGACGCAGTGCCGGTTCCTGTCCCCCGAAGAAGTGGGTTCTCCCACACAACCCTTAACACCTCAAACAACAACACACCAGGTAGACCTTGCCATGCCGATGAGTAGGAACGGTTCAATCTTTGTGGATGCCTCAGGATCCTTAGATGGCATTCAGGTGGAGGATTGAAAGACAGATACAGCGAGGGGACACCACGCCAGTGAAACAAAACTCACTAGGTTAGTACCTACCACAAAGGATACCAACAGCTCACTCCACCTCTACAAAAACATTCATTCCATCATCCTAAAGAACAAACGGAGAAGTCTACCTTTGTTCCCCTCACCACCATATTTTCACATCTTATCGTGGAATGTGGCGGGCTGGCTGTCTAAGCAGGGCGCTGCTGATTTTCTGGATTTTCTCTCAAAATTCCAGATTATTTGTCTACAAGAGACCTGGTGCCTAGACTCTCATCCCCCTTACTTACAGGGCTATGCGGCTTTTGCTACCCCTGCGAAAAACTAAATAACCGTGGCCGACCTAGCGGCGGTTTGGTCACTTTTATTCCTATAGAGCAAGGGTACAGGGTGCGACAACTGCAGTGGATGAAGAACAACAATTTTCAGATTTTACTTATCTCCAATAACACAGGAGGAGATCTTCTATGTTTCAACGTCTATATCCCCCCCGTGTGTACTTCCTCTCAGACAGTACAAATCTGGGAAGATTTGGAGTCATGCTTGGAGAAGGCCAAAATAGAATTCCCTGACTGGAACATCCTGCTGGCAGGTGACTTTAATGCCAGGATAGGCAGCGACATCAATTCGTATGGCTCCAAAACCCAGTTTCTACCAGAGGCAGACTGGCTTATCCCTTGGAGTTCTGATGAAAAGGTCTTGAACAAGGCAGGTATTACATTACTGGAGATTGCTTTTAAGCATAATCTGTACAACCTGCATGGTACTTACATGGACAGGTCAGGAGGTTTCTTCTCTTTTATCGGCCCTCGTGGTGCAAGTGTGATTGACCATATCCTGGTCTCTCCAACAATTTTGGAGAGGGTACAGGGTCTCAGCACTTTTAATAGAACTGAGAGCGACCATCTTCCTAGAGCAATCTCACTAACTCCCCTTGAATCAGGGGATTACAACATCTACATTGTGCAGCCCCTCCTCAAGCACCGGCCCCACGCAGGCGTAAATGGAACAGCGAGCTGGAGCTTAAAATTAATCAACACCTGCACTCTCCAGATCTATTGGTTCTGAGAGACCAGTGTCCTTTACCTAACTTTGATCCTTTTTCACTATATCAGCGGGTCTCAGAGTCCCTTTTCCCATTTCTTATAAACACCAGGCCTCCCATACAACATAACAAATCGGGGCCTGGTTTGACAAAGACTGCCGGAAGCTAAGATCCCTGCTTAGGAAACAACAAAATAAGGTAAAACAGGAGAGGACTTTGTCATCTATGGTAAATTTCCACAGATGGCGCTCTCACTATAAATACACCTTAAAACTCAAGAAATCCCTTTACAGGAAGAAACAATGGGAGGCACTTGATAAGGCGATTAAATCGCGAGACGATAGAAAATTCTGGGCAATAGTAGCACAGGGAGTCTCATCCAAAGGAAAAATTGTAAACAGCAGTATTCCATCCGATGTGTGGTATCAACACTTTCTCAAGCTATACACACTCTCAAATACTGCTAATTTGAGTCCGCTCCTCCCATTGAAGAATGAGCATCTAGTTAGTTGGGATCCTGTTACGGAATCAGAGTGCCTACAGCTAATTAAAACTTTAAAAAATGGCAAAGCTCCTGGCGAGGACATGATCCCCCCTGAGGTTTTTAAATTAAATGCCCAATGGTGGGCCATCTTTTGGCCAAACTTTTTACGGCAATGAACAACACATGTAAAATCCCAGCAAATTGGAAACTAAGTGTGGTAGTCCCTATCTATAAGAAGGGAGACATTCAAGATCCAGCAAACTACCGCCCTATAAGCCTTCTGGACATCGCATACAAACTTTATACCCGGTACCTATTAAACAAGCTGGTAGATTGGGCGGACCATTCTAACCTGTTCAACCAGGAACAGGCAGGATTTAGAAAGGGCCACAATACGATAGGTCACTGTATGGTACTACAGACCCTGGTAGCTAAATATGCAAAAGCGTATAAGAGCAGACTCTTTGTGGCCTTCGTAGACTTGACATCTGCCTTCGACTCAATCTGTAGAGATAGACTATGGAAAAAATTATATGAAACGGACATTGACAGACGACTTTTAAAAATTCTCAGAGAGTTACATACAGACATTACAGTCAAAATCAGAACTGGGCCATCGGGAACTCTTACGGACCCACTGCCATTGGGGAAAGGGGTCAAACAGGGATGCCTGCTAGCCCCATTTCTTTTCAACTTTTATATAAACGACATTGTCCAGTACATGGCAAAGTACAAGTCATCGGCTCCAGCCCTTGAAGGTAAACGCCTGAATATTTTGCTATATGCCGATGACATGGTTTTAATGGCACTCACCCGAAGAGGCTTACGCAGCATGCTGGAGGGGATCGCAGCCTACTGTTCCCATAATTCACTAAAGATAAACCATGATAAAACAAAAATTGTGGTGTTTACTAGAGCTCGCCACACCTTTAGATGGTCTTTAGATGAACAAGTGATTGAACAGTGCCCTTTTTTAAATATCTGGGTGTTACATTCCAGGCTACATCTAGCTGGCTAGCCCACTTTAAGGCTGTAACCATCCTAACACGAAGAACAATTGGTGTTTTGCTTAGTTTCTTCCATACCAGGGGAGGACAATTGGTGATCCCGGCATTAAGAGCTTTCGTTGGGAAAGCTATTCCCCAGATGTTATATGGGATAGAACTCTGGGGGTGGAACCAGAGGCTGTTGGAACGGCTTGAAATTTTGCAAAACTACTATCTCAAGAAGATTCTAGGCCTTCCTCAAGGAACCCCAGCAGCCTTCTTGAGGGTGGAGGTTGGTTTACCCTCTGTGTCTGCCAGGGCCCACTTAAGATTCCTACGATTTTACATCAACCTTGCAAACTCTTCAAACACCTTATTGGCCAAACAAGCCTTCGTATCTTTTCAAAAGAATACCACTTGGCGCCAAAACTTATCTGAGATCCTGGTTAGATACACCCTACCGGAGTTTAATATCCTCAAACGGTGGAGCCCGGACAAAGTCCGGAAATGGATCCTGGAGAGAGACGCTCTGTTAGATACCACAAAAATACAGATCCCAGGGTCCTCCCACTGGCTTCCCCGACTGAAAGCAGTCAAAATCTGCGCCAACTACTTGGCGAATATCACCAATCCCACTCTTCGGAGAGCCTTTACTATGGCCCGTTTTCAAACCATTCCTACGGCCTATCTGTCAGGCAGATATGCAAAAATCCCAGTAGAGCAGCGGATATGTCCTTGTTATATGAGAACCAAAGAGGATCTCATACATTACATGTTGTATTGTCCCATCTATTCGGCCTTCAGGGATGCGATGTTACAAACTATACCTAAATCAATAGTCAACTCTGAGGACCAAGTAAAGTTTTTACTGGTAGACGCTGATCCACGGATTTCTCACGTGGTAGCGGTCTTTGTGGTGAAGGCTATGAAAACTAGGGTATGGTTCCTGGATGAAATGGTGAGGTCCCTCCCATTGCTCTCCTAACCTGTTGCTGAACCTTCTTCCTTGAATGGTGGGGTTTTTGGGTAGTTTCCTTGCTGGGACAACATGGCATGAATTTTAGCTTACTTTTATAATCTTTTTGGTTTATCTTTTAATAATGTTTTATGGTATTTTGTGTAAAGGCATGGACCTCACAAATTTAATAAATTTGTTGTTGTTGTTGTACAAAATAAAAATAATTAACAAAGTAGAAAAAGAAAAGAAAACAAACCCCTTCCAACCGTATGAATACAAATTCAAAAATAAGAAAAAGTGACAAAAAGAAAAAAAATACAAAAATACATCACACACAATTAAAAAACATTTAAAAACAAATTCATTATTCTCATATCCTCAACTGTCATTACCTTCTTTCTTTGACCTCCTCCTCCTCCCTTTCTTTGTATCCTAGTTATTAATTATCCCAGCAAATCCTTTCCATATTTCATAATATTCTGTCATTACATTACCCTAAACTGTTTTAATCTTATCTTTCTATAATAAAATAAACCTTAAAGCTTAAAACTTAAATCTTATCCTTACCAACTTCTCATAACCATAATATTCTTTCATAATTCTTTAAACATCTTTACTAAAGCCAAGTAGTTTCTAACATTCATCAATTTTATAAAACAGTTCTAATGGTAGAAAGAGGGAATACAAACAAATCCAATCTTCATCCAACGTCCCTTCCTCCTGGTTCCGGGTTTTGTCAGTCCTTATTATCCCGTCAATCTAGCCCATTAACCTGGCAGCCTTATATCCGAGGCCCTCAAGTCTCTTCCATGTCCCTTCCGCAGCTCTTCTTCATATTTGTAACTGTATTTTCCCTTGTCTCCTGCTCGTGGTAACTCCAGCTTGGCAATATTTTTAACCCTTCTCGACAGATCAGCCCCTTTTCCATATTCAACACTGAGTTCCATATGGTATTTAAAAGCATGTTTCAAAGACCCTCCGAAATTAAGAGCCCCCACAATCCCAAACATCTCACGGCCCATTGTCAGATTTGAAAAGTCCAAACATCCCAGCATAGGGGGATCAATCCAGCCCACCATTTCCAAGCCAAACCAAACTTTTTCTTTCCAAATCTGGCTTTTTCCAAGTTCATTTGTCAAATCCGAAAACTCATATTCCTGTTGGGCCTGTTCTGTCAGGACACACTCCTGATTTAATTCCTGAGTGGGCTCCACATATTTTCCCACTGTCTGTTCAAAATTTCCCACTGCCTGTTGAAAATTTCTAGTCGAAGTCGCCATCCAATTCACCTTTTCATGTAATTGTTCCAGTAGGGCATTTGTTTTATAGAAAGCACACAACAAAGCTTCTGAATACATTGTCCTGCAAGGTCGAATGCCTGTTCCCACGATTGTTATCTGTAACAGCTGCCGGCTCTCTGGAGTTAGTTACAGTTACACAGTCTCCCTCTAGGGGGAAAACTTCTATTTGTTCTTGCCACAAAATTTCCCTTTTTGAGATACTTTGTCAATATTTGTTGCTTAAAGATGCGAAGGGAAGCAGTGGAATCGCTATGTTTCTCTTCTTTTAGCTATCTGTCAAAATGCTTGTCTCTGGTCAATGAACTTCAAACGTCAGTCCTGACACCCCGCTCCAGGATCAGGACGGAGGAAAGTTACTTTACTTTAAACTCACTTTAAACAGTCCGGAAAAGATCCCCCCTTCTTCTCCTGCTGTCGAAGGGGGGGTTCCACAATTTTAAATGATGAAATCCAATCCTTTAAAGGCGATTTTCTAAGCTCTAGTTTATGTTGTCTTTGCTTTATTCTGTCTACAGAAGAACGGAAGGCTGACTTCCTGTTTAGACCTTCCCGTTCCGTACCAAATTAAAATAGGTTTTTAAAATCCAATTCCTTTCTGCTCACAAGTCCTTATCTAATGCCCAGTTGTTCAAAGTCTAAGTACTCACGGGTGCTTATTTTAGAGTCCAAATTGTCCCAGGAAAAAGGCAGCGCTCTCCGGCAATGGCTGTGCGGCTTCGCTCCACGGAAATAGCAATTGACTCACAGCACAGCGCCACTTCCCCCTCTTCACTTCGGAGCCCGTTAGTGGGTTCCTTAGCAAGTTGGGGGGGCGCTAAAGGTGCCCGCCGAGTCCCATGGTCACAGGCTTCATCCGCCTGTGATTTTTAAAAGGGTCCCCGCTTCGCCGTAGCGGAAAAGACCCGTTTCCCGCGGAGCTAGTCCCTCCTGTTCAGAGGGAGTCCGCCATTGCCGATGGCGCCACCCCGGAAGTCCACAGCTTCTAAATTTTCAGCCAAGTAAACAACTGTATTGATGTACACTAGTCAATAAATAAATGGATTGTTATTTCTTTATAATTTTCCCCCTTTCAGCTGACTGCGGTGGACCATTTGACCTGTGGGAACCAAACACTACGTTTAGTTCCATGAATTATCCAAATAATTACCCCAACATAGCTTCTTGTAAGTACTGTAACTTCAGAACTTAATAAATGTTTGTTTGTTTGACAACATTTATATACCACTTAATCAACAAAATTCTGTTAAGCAATTTACATCATAAACTGTTATTAGACTGGATTGAATATGGTATGTGGTCATGAACAGTGCTTATACATGAGGAAAATCTTGTGAACCTACTAGGAGCCTAGAAAGGTACACTGTGCTTAAACACTGCACTAAAATGGTTGCATTCCCTCTTTTATTTGGTGTGGAATAGGGGTGGACTGGACTGTTAATTTCGGTTCTCTCAGTTTCTCATTCTTCCAGTCTTAAACTCCTCCCCACATTTCTGCAGTAATTTGCTATTTTAAAACTAATAATAATTATGAGCATTTATTTTTCTAATAAACACATTTTTGAACGCAGTTTTGACTGATGCACATATTTTTGCAAACAGTTTTCCTAATAAAATGCATTTTGTTTGCTATTTTCACTAAAATATTCATTTTTATGTGTACTTACACAGGATATATGCATTTTTGTAGACACTGCTTGACTGGAGAACTGTATTGCACAATTAAGAAAAGTATGAATTTCAAGGATTCCTGTGTTTTGGTTCTCATTGTAACAGAAAGTATGAATTAGGCGTGATTGCCTCTGAATGCAAACTGAATCAAATTTCTTCCCTGTCCCTAGTGTGAAATAACATTGCTCTTTATTTATGGTTCCATTTGCCCACAGCCTGCTGCAAAAGGTGCAATTTCCAAAAAAAATCAAAATGCAGTTTTGATTGTGTCTCTCTGTATTACATAGAACACAGTCAGATAATTCCAAGTAAATGATTGTAGGATGTATTGATGTTCAAAGATGTTCATACTGAAAGGCAGAGCATAAATGGAAGAAGTGACATGCCAGAGTGACTTCACATGAGGCAGGAATTGGTTTTATATTCATTCTCAGACTGGAAGAGAATGTTGTTATGTCTGCCTCTTTGCTTAAGCTGCTACGCATATCTCTCTATGTGGAGATGTTGATAAATCAAACCTCTAGTATATTTGTAAAACAAAGGGACTGTTTTTCTCTGTCTTTTATTTCCTAGGTGTATGGTATTTAAATGCAGAGAAAGGAAAAAATATCCAACTTCATTTCCAGTACCTTGATCTGGAAAATATTAATGACGTTGTAGAAATCAGAGATGGCACAGGAACTGGTTCTTTATTTTTAGGCAAGTATAATCCACAAATTTATGCAGAATTAGAATACTGTGTGTGGTTGAGCAGTATTTCATATTTTCTGGAAAACACAGGCGACCTTAGTTAGTTAGTTAGTTTTTTAAAAAAAAAAATACACCGTGAAAGTTGCTTATAGTACATTTGTGACAATTTCACTGAGCTGAGCATGAGATAATATTTTGATGGTTTATCCTTGCTAGAGTTAAAAATATAACATCAATAACACTAGCTGCAACAATGCAGGTGAAACTAGAAGTGGGCAGGTTCTACTCTGGAAACAATTTGGTGGGCTTTTCACACGGATTTCACTGAAACTTCCAAATTGGCTGATATAGTTAAAAGAATTACAGAGAGGTCATTCTGAAATGCCGTTTATCCCATGATGCTCCATAGGTTTCTGTGTAGTAAGGCTTTCAGTGTGTCAGGTATTGTTGTAGCACCATTGTAGCATGTTGTACTACAATGTGGTAGAGAGACTTCCATGCATATGTGGCAGATTCTAGTAGTGAACCCACAACTTGCTTGAACCAGAACTGCTAATAGATTACAAATGTTGGTCCTGTTTCAGGTACATTTCCCCACAAATTCCAGTTTGGGCAGAATTCACCAATATATGTAGATGAAACATATTGAAAGAATTCAGGATAATTTTTCTAGACTAGTCTTGAAAAACTGTTTCCCCTAGATATGGATGAAGGACAATGGCATTTTTTCCACTCATAAAGTTATGGGGTTGGGTTTTTTCTTCTTATTTTTATGTATATCAACACTTCACACAATTTCTAAGCAGAAAGCATTTGACCTATATCTAAAATATACATATTTCTGTTTTCTCTATGGGTAGCTGTATATACAGGAAAGTCCCCGGTGCCAGATATATTCTCTACGACTCATCAGATGACTGTACTCTTCATTACTGACGATTCTGTAACTAAGAAAGGATTTGCAGCCAATTTCACTACAGGATACCATTTAGGCATGCCAGGTAAGATTCACACTTACACATTTTTAATCAAACATTTTAAAAGGGCACATGAAACTGTGAACAAAGATTTGTTTCAGTGCAATCCTATGCATGTCTACTTAGAAGTTAGTTTCATTGGATTTAATGGAGCTTCCTCTATTACAGTGTATAAGGCTAAAGCCTTCAAATGTAATTCACATTTATCAGGACCTCTGTTGGGCTAATCTACATCTTACACACTAACTTTCAGTTATTCTGCCTATCATTAGCCAAATGGCTAATTCTGTACTCCAAAGAAGCTCAGCAGGGATGATTTGCTGCAGAGAACCAGTGGGTGGGGGTGGGGGTGGAATTGCCCTCTTTTCACTTTCCCCTGAGATTCCTTGTCAACCCCATACACTTCTGTTTCCTGTGGGATGCCAGGCTGTGTTTCCCTTAAAAACATGGGTCTAAGAAAGCATGGGCTTTCAGAGAGGAAATAGTATGAAGAAAAGGGTTAAGCATCCTCCCTGCTCTTTCCCCACTGCAAATCACCTTCTTCTGATGACAGACGGAGGAACAAAGAAGTGGCTGTTGGACTAATGTTGGTTATCAGGGTAACCTAGTATCTCTTCACAAGAAGAGGTTAACTAAGCCCTTTTGAACTGTAAGTCCTTCTTGCAGGAGTTGCAAGAATGCCCTTACACATGAGAGACCAGAAAATTGCCTCAAGTTTCTAAAGATAAAATGGATTCAGATTGTGTTTATTAACATTATATAGAATTTGAGTTCAGTACAATAATTAAAATGCTACATTTAGATGATAAATATGATACATATTTTTATTTTACAGATCCCTGTGGTCCCAATTATTATCAGTGTGGAAGTAGAGAATGCATCCCGCTGGTTTACCTTTGTGATCAATCACAGCACTGTAAAGATAATTCTGATGAATCAGACTGTGGTAAATCTCTATTTCAAAAACGAAAAACAAGCTACCCACTTCTAATACATGTGACATTCTTGAATAAGTAAAAAAACAAATTCAATAAGAAATTGTCATATATAGAATATCTTCAGGAAGGAAAGTAGATGTTAAAAACTTTGCTTTACTATCCCAGCTTTCTTACCTAAGTGTAATGAACAATATGCCTATCCTTGATCTTCTGTAGCAGTTACTTTATCTTGTTTGACGGTGACATCACCACGCCTTTCCTGTACTAATCTCTCTCTCAAAAAAATGTGAAGAACTAAGAACTCTGTTTACAGAGATCACTAGTTAGAAAACTAAGTCATCCTAACACTTCTTTATGGAATTTTTGCTTTCACTGGACAAGTGCTATAACTCCTGAGCTCTTATACCTGTAGAGTGGATTATAGGATCAAGCAAAGGAATTATAACAACAAGCAAACTGGATGGCACAAGTAGGCAAGCGTACATTTGGAAAGATGTACTTGTTTCATAGTAGATATGCCCTGCTTGCACATCTACTTTTCTGGTAGGTGAAGGGCTTTTTTTGGGCATGTGAAGCAGTACAAGCTGCTTTATCTCCATGGGAACAATCTACCCGCTGGTTTATATTTAATAGGCTTCATTCCACTGACCCTGCTGAAACTTTCACACAGGCCAAGATTCTCGACCAAAATGTAAACCATGTTACATACTGCTGTATCTATACATATACAATATTTAAAGCAGACTGAGGCCACAGAGTGAGGAGCCAAATGTACTCTGAGCTCTGTATGCTCAGTATCTATGCACATACCCTCTCTGAATTAGTATGCCCTGGGCCAGAGAATACACATGATCTTTTGTGAGCTCTGTTCATTTTAGTGGTAAAGGGACTTCAGTACATAATATCCCTTAGACTCCTTGTGCAGCTCTGTTTCCACTGAACTGAAAGAAGAAACTATTGAGGACTGAGACTTGCAGCCTAGTATCTTGAACCAGAATGTATATACACGTAGGAGCTGTAGATTTACTGCCTCTGCAACGTCCTATTTATTCACTTCAATGTTTGTTTAAAAAGCATGCTTAGGACTAAATTCTCAAGCTCACTTTCAAGCAAACGAGTTTAGGATCAAGTGTAAGCCTGATAAAAGTGTTTGACAGGAGCATAAAACAGCTGCGGGGGAGCACCATTTCAACTCTTTTGCAACACATATGCGGGTTACTTTGACAACTATGACAGCTGTTGTCACAGTACCATCTGTGGAGGTAGTTATTTCCAAAATTAAATGTTCCATACATAGCTCTGTTTCTCATAAAACAGAAATAATGGTCTCTGTGCACCAATTTATATGCAGAACTGATGTTAAAATAATGCTAGGGTCTGTTTTTTAAAAAAAACAAAATTGCTCTCACAGACAAAGAGCTGTCTGACACAATCGTTTCTGTGGGTGGATGTTTAGATTTGGAGACACGTATTTCCTTGGCTTATGTTAGATAAATCATAACTGTTAGTAGTGAAACTCTTAGACATCTGTTGGCAGGTATCATTAGTGGTATATGTGTCCAAAGGCAAAATACAGCTCCTAATACATCTTATCTTGCTATATTTAAAGAAGACGACATTTTTTATCGGTAGTCTACTTTTTGTAGCAGAAGCTTATTTTAAAAAAACTATACTTTATTATTTTTTAACAAATATGAACCTGCAAATGTTGGCAGTAATTTCTATAGAAGGTTTAAAATCTGAATAATACAAGTATTTATTTGCTCAGTTTTACTCCCATAAAATTATGGCTGTGGTTATGGTTAACTGAACACCTATCCCTAAAGTGCAATATGAAATACTTTATTTGCATGTACTTTGCTACTGCAGTGACCTTTCTTGTTCCTCTTTTATTGGTCAAGGCATTCGTAAAATCGTCTGTCCATATGTTTCCTCTAACAGTGTACTTATCATACCATCCACAGATGTACCTAAGGGATGCTAAGCAACATACAGTTGCAAGAAACTGATAGATGAAAGCTTTTTACTGTCCATTCAGGAGTTAACCATGGTACAGCCACCCTGTTTGGGTTACAGGTAATGGGTTCATGATTGCAATGGTGTTTGCTTCAGGACCCAAACTTACACACACACACACACACACACACACACACACACACACACTATGGCTGGCTTCAGAGTAGCTTTCTAAATACCTAAATTAGGGAGAAGTCTTAGCACAAGTCTTAGTTCCCTTTTCCCATTCTTGGCTAGGATGCCTTAAGTTGAGCCCATGTCTCCTCTTCATGAGTGGAAATATCCTACAATCTATAGTGCACTGTTAGAAGTTTACTTCTGAGTCTATTTACTTTGTCAACAGTGCGCTTGGTCAATGGTTCTCTCAGCTTCAATGGATTGGTCCAGTTCAAGGTTGAGAATGAATGGTACACAGCTTGTGCAGATGAGTGGGCTGAACAATTGTCAAGCAGTGTCTGTCACTGGTTGGGACTTGGGTAAGTAAGGCTGTTTAATTCATTTTGTTTCAGACTGTATATGCTTCATAATAGCTATATCTGGTAGAAGATTGGCCAACTTTGCAAAGGACAGTATACATACATGTGTGATTATCCAATAAAATGTAGATAAAGAATAGGGAACCTATGGCTCGCCAGATGTTGTTCAGCTCCAGTTCCTATCAGCTGTAGCTGAATCATCAGGGATGACAATAGCTGAAGTCCAGTTATATCTGGAGGGCCGTAGGTTTCCCATCCTTAATAGTGGATCAATACTATGAGGTTATATATTTATATTTTTGTTCTTCCACTAAGGCACTTCTCGGAAAGGGCAGTGGGCAGCTTATGACACTGCTTTGAGAAAGAGCAGGGATGCAGGAAGGGCCCTAAGACTGGCACCCTCTTGAATGTGTTGTGAAGTATAGCTGATTTAGTTCCGCAAAGTCCACAAATAAACGAAACTTTCATAACAAATGCTGAATCGTTCAGAAAACCTGCATTGGCCAATGCACTCTGCCTTCTTTCTTTAGTTTTAGAAGACATATTTTTAAATGGAGTACAGTGGTGCCTCGCAAGAAATTAATCCGTTCCGCAAGTCTCTTCGTCTTGCGGATTTTTCGTCTTGCGAAGCATGGCTATTAGCGGCTTGGCGGCTTAGCGGCTATTAGCGGCTTAGCGGCTATTAACGGCTTAGCGGCTTTAAGAAAAAGGAAACGAACTCGCAAGAACTCGCAAGACGTTTCGTCTTGCGAAGCAAGCCCATAGGGAAATTCGTCTTGCAGAACGACTCAAAAAATGCAAAACCCTTTCGTCTAGCGAGGCATTCGTCTTGCGGGGCACCACTGTATTACCAGCATCTATTAGTAGCACTATTTTAAAGAAGAGTACAGAATGCTATAACATACAACTGATGATATCATCACCATCATCATCTTAATCTTAAGGGTGCTATCAGCATGAAGGATGCTGCCCTTCCATCCTGTAGCTGCCAGCCTCTCAGAGGCCCAGCTCTCCCTCTATATACCATCTCCTCTGCAGGGCCATTCACCTCTTAGGAAATCCACCCCACAGAAGGTTTCCATTGACAGGATTGGACCGAGGATCACCTCATCCTGAGACAGGCTTTGCACCATGGCCATCTGGGTGGGCAGCCTCAAATGTTCCTGTAGGTATCATTCCAGTCCTTGTCATTAAGCCAAGTAGGGTAGGCTGCTAAGGACAATGATTTTCACAGCAGCAGTAGCAGCAAGACACTTGCAACACCCTTGCTTGGCAGGAGCACCTGTCAGGCACACAGCTGTGTGTGGCATCAGCTGTGACCAGTTGGGAGAGAAGGGACCTATTCTTAGGATACCAGTGGGGCTGCTGTGGCCAGAGAGGCTTTCCCTAAGAGGAGCAATGGCAACCATGTTTGGTGAGATACACTAGCAGGCAACCCTCCTCACTGGGAATGGGGTTGTTGCCTGGTCTTCTGTTGAAGATCCCCCTAGCTGAACTGACCTTGCTTTCTGTGGCTGCTGCTCCTTGTGGGCAGTTGCTGCTGTTACTGGATCTCCAAATTGCAGCTGCTACTGCTGGTGCATTCCTGTGGGGAGAAAAAGCTTGGGAAAGAGATGTTAGCATGACAATTTTGTTTCTTCCCCATTTGCACTTCATTGGGAATGTGTTCAGAGTGCCCAGTGTTTGTGAAGTATGTTCCCTGGAGTGTTCACAAGGCCCCTGCTGCACCCCTACCCAAGTGCTCTTTCAGAGTGGTGTGGGGCATTAGGGCAAGCTAGGACCAGATTTCTGAGGACTGGGCCCTCTCTATTAACTTCCATTGTGTGGTTTGAATTACTCCATCCTTTTTGCTGGCCTCACTTCTGCCAGGGTGTCAGGCAATGTGATTGAGTAGAGTTAAGATTCAGCCTAGGTCCCTAGCTGCATGGTATGATGGATCGTAAGTCACATCCTGGCAGATCTTGGATCTGGCTTGCTCCCTAAGCCATGCTCATTCATTTCAATGGTTCTACTCTGAATAAAATATAGCTGAATACCACCCTAACATTTGAAAAACTGCATGGGCATGAGCAAAGGGAGTTGCCATTTGATGCCAGTGATGTCCTCCTGAGCATTGTCCAGTAGCTAATAGACTTGCAAGCAATGCACTTTAGCTTTTTTCTCTCTTGCACTGAACTGGAGATAGCACTGAATTCAGCAGCTAAAACAGCTTGTGGAGCAGGCAGATCTTTTAAAGGAGTTCATTTTTTTCAGTTGAGATTTATGAGGAAATTCACTTTTTACCTAGCCTTTTCCTGAGGAAAAAGACTAACCGCTGATCAAATTGGAAATGTCTGGTCTTCCCATGGTGACAAGGAGAAGTAAATCAGAGGGGCTGGGCATGTGCTCAGCATCATCCTTCTTGATAATGACTTGAGGAACAGTGTGTAAAACTGACCAGCTTAACAGAAAGAGTGGTTTAGGGCCGTCTTTAGCACAGTGTGTTGCTTCAGCTAACTGCCAACAGCATCCCCATTGCTTGAAATTTTGGGGGAAGATGACTATGTTGTATTCTTTTTATAATGGATGTATTGTATTCCGCCAGACCCTCAAACCTCTGCGCATATCCTGCTGCTTCCAAGCACTTTGGTAAAGTGGCAAGAGCAAAGTCAATCATACAATCAAAGAAACTGCAGATAGAAAAGACCTGCTAGGTCACTTAGTCCATCTTCCTGCCAAGTGTGGGATTGTTCTCCAGCTGTATTTCCACACTGGTGTTAGCTAGCCTAGTTTTCAGCTTCCAGGATATTCTGCCAATCGCCCAATGACTTCTGCATGTTTAGCCTTGCATTCTAGAGCTCTGCTGATATTTGGCCTATATTTTCATTTCCTCAATATTTTATCACAATGGGCATGAAGAGTCCTACTGGGTATTGCCACCACAATACACAAGAGCAAATCACGTTTGAACCGTCATACAGAACTTCTAAAATTAAATGTTATTTAAGTCAATGGTAAGTAAAATGAAAGTCCTAAGGGTTAGACATTAACCTTCTCTCCTACTCACCTAAATTAAAACATGCTAGGATTTATAAAATGGAATGGAGTTCAGGAAAAAATATTCTAGCTTTCATGGATAAAATATGCACTATACTTTCTTGCTCTAGTCCCCAAAGCCTGCTTTAGGTATAGAAGCTCAAGATTTCATGTGTAATGCTTACATCCACAGATTATGTGACTGTAGCTGTTTACTACAGTCAAGTACAGTAAAATAATAATAATAATACATCATTTGATATGGTTGGACTGAAACCAGGGAGTGCATTGGTCTACGTAGAGCATCCTTCCTAACTGAAAATTTTCAGAATACGTAATGAATTTTACTATCATCACTGGTTGCTGATGAAAACTGTACAATTTGGCACTGTCAGTATTGATGCCACTAATCCCTCATTTTGGGGAGGGAAAGGAAGAAGGTAAGTGGATTGATTCCCTTTTCTCAAATGGGTTGTGTCTGGCAAGTTCATGTGTAGTCCCATTCCAGAAACAGTACAACACTGTGATAGGTATAGCACTTTTTGCCCTTGGCTGGCCAAAGTACCATTGTGATCACAGGAATTGTTGGCTGTCGTATTCTGACTGCTCAATTTACTGGACACATTTCTCCATACATCACAGATGTTGTGTGACATGTATCTGTAAAGGGAAGATTCCTTGAGGAAGAAGAAGAAAGAAATCCATCAGACATTTTCTTAAAGCCACTGCTATATTAATAAGGCACTTGGCATAATTGTTTCTAGAAGGTTTATTATTATTATTTTAAAGAATATATTCCAAAGCATTGTTTTCCTTTGTAGAAGTATGAATAGATCGTATCCTGTATTATTTGATCGGGCAGGACTATTTGTGGAAGTTACAAAAGCAGTCAACAACAGTTTAATACTAACACCCAAGTAAGTATTCTTAACTTATGATGATGAACAACTGCAGTTGTGCTTAGGGCACATTATTTTTTCTTTAAATTCAGCTTGTCATCTGATCCACTCATCTTTTATAAAAAAAGGATCATGCTAGTTGCATTAGGAGAGGGCTTATGCAGAATCTGCAGGTCAGTCCCAATGGTATAGTGGAGGGGGGTTACATCCATTATTTTTTCCTTGCATCTCTTCTGTCAAAGTTAGTCTTCCTTTTTCTTTCCATGCGGTCAGGACTTCCATTTCCTGAAGGAAGCCTTCTTGCTTCTAACAGCTACCTTTTCTTCTTCTTGTTAACTATTGTGGTATCTTCTTGGCTCTAGTGGTACCTCTTGAACTGCTGTATACATTCTACCTGAGCTTATTGTGATTTTGAACAACCTCCAAGTCCTCTGGAGATTTGACCCTGTTGACTTTGCCTTTCATCTTCCTTTTATACCACTCTCCTCACAAGCAGTGTGTGAAGCAAAGCCAGTGAGGGCTATGGCCTGGGCTGAGGGCATATGGTTGGGGATAGGGCGAGAGGGGAGTTCCCAGGGCCAATAGTACTAGTTGCATCAGGTGGGAAGTTCTAGGGGATTACCTGGGTGAGCAGGGGGTTGGCAATAGAGTAAGGGGTTGGTTGGAGGAGGCAGCCTTGGCAAGCAATGCAAGCAGGGGCAGAAGCCCTTAGTCCAGGGGTCAGCAACCTTTTTCAGCTGTGGGCTGGTCCACCATCCCTCAGACCATGTGGTGGGCTGGACTATATTTTGAAAAAATTCCTATGTCCCACAAATAACCCAGAGATGCATTTTAAATAAAAGGACACATTCTACTCATGCAAAAACACCAGGCAGGATCCACAAATCACCCAAAGATGCATTTTAAATAAAATGACACATTCGACTCATCTAAAAACACGCTTATTCCCAGACCATCCACGGGCCGGATTGAGAAGGCGATTGGGCCACATCCGGCCCCTGGGCCTTGGGTTGCCTACCCCTGCCCTAGTCTCTCACTGTGTGCATTCTTTTTTTCCATTTGTGCAGTTGTCTTCTATTTATCTGCACATTTTTATCCATGATGCTTGTTGATATTTACTGATTTGTGATGTGTTAAATAATGGCACGGTCACAGCTTCTGGGGCTTAGATGAATTGCAGGCTAATGAAATATTCTTCAAGCCCCTGGATCACAGAAATAATAGAGTTGTTTTGATCTGTGGTCTTTTACTGTTCTGGAATCTATCTTCTTTTTTCTTGACCAAATATTTCTCAGTCTTCTGAGCAAAGCTAAGATAGTCCTGACAGAGCAGAGTTATATCTATGTAGGTATTACTTCCTAGCAAGCTAACATTTTTAAATCTTTGGTCACACTGATCTCTAGTGGCAAATGACTGTGTAAACATATAAGAAAGCAATACTGTTTTCTTACTAGAGTACTGAGAGTCTATAGACTATTGTAAAATGTGCATACTTCCTAATACTAATGATTAAGGAAGTACAGGGTTTGGGGTGGCTTTTTTGTAGATTATGCCGTGTAGACTTTACATAATCCTTAAAGATACTTGCATATTTTAAACAAAAAAAATTAAATTTATCTGGTGAAAAGCACCATGTCACTAACCTTATTTTGTTCCAACAGGTAATGAAAATCTGTTTTCGCTAAACAGCTTAAATACAATTACTGTGTTCTCATTCTAGGGCAAGTTGTCTCAATAATTCAGTGATTCACCTGCAATGCAACAATAAACGTGAGTGTATGAACATTCAAAAGTTTAACACATAATGCCTGCACCACGTACATTTTCTCTTACTATATTATATGTAACAATATGGTTATTTATATTTAACATGTATAAAATAGATTTCACAGGAGCAAAATGTATTGTAAATCCTAGCTTAATTTAGGACACCAAAAGGCAGCACAAATAAAATAATCTTTAAGTGTTTCCAGAAAATATCCATCTTCATGCTATGTGAAGGCTCTAAGAGAAAGGATTTACATTATGGGCAGTTGCCCCAAGTATCTGTCTCTGACATCTGTCTGTATAGTAAACTCAAATAATGTAGCTCTGGGTAATTCTGGAGATCATAAACTGTTCATAAAGAAGGCAATCTCAAATGAAATTCCAACACTTTGGAAAGTCATTATACTTCCTTCTAGATTTGGAGCCCCACAAATGACATGGATTTAACTTTAACCTTTTCTTTTAATGGTAGCATGTGGGGAAAGGCTGATTACTCGGGAACATGGAATGAAAATTATAGGTGGTTCTGATGCTCCAGAAGGTGCTTGGCCTTGGATGGTCTCGTTACGTTTCAATTCCAGGCCAGTTTGTGGAGCATCTCTTGTCAGCAATGAATGGCTGGTCTCTGCTGCACACTGTGTTTATGGGTAAGCTTAATTCTATCCTTAATTTGTAATATGTACCTGGTTCTTTGTTGTCATAATATTTTTACTTCTGATAGCTTAGCAGGAATTAGGAATTTAGGAAGTTGTTTTATACCAAGTCAGACCATTGGTGCATCTTACTTAGCATTCCTTGGCTTCTGTATGATGCTGTTTCTTAATTTAGATTCTGTTTATGTTGTTGTTTTATTGTAATTTTAGCATGTTGTTTTATGTTGCATTGTGATTTCAAATAAAAGGAGGTATAAAAATACTTTCAATAGATAAACAAATTGTCAACGCTGACTGGCTGTGGTTCTCTAGGTTTCAAACTGGGGTCTTTCCGAACCCTATGGGGATATAGCAGGGCATGAGCCTGGGACCGTTTGCACATAGAGGTCAGTGCTCTACAACTGAGCTATGGTGTTTGATTTGCCATTTCAGGGAGAGCCATAAGCTAACATAAAATCAGGGTTGAGTGGATACATGAATCTGACCCATCTTTCAGGGGCCACTTTTGTCAGGTACACGCCTGATTCTTCATTCTTTGTAACCCCAGCTTTAATTTCATAGAAACATAGAGCTGAAAGGAACCACAAGGGACATCTAGTCCAACCCCCTGCAATGCATGACTCTTTTGCCCGATGTGGGGCTCAAACCCATGACCCTGAGATTAAGAGTCTCCTGCTCTACCAGCTGAGCTAAACTGGGCTTGCAAAGGATGGATCTTTGCAGCCATGGCTTGAATTCAAGCTGGGGCTGCAATATTCCTGTCAAAACTCAGCACCACTCTATGCAGAAATCAACTGCAGAAGCTCAGATTGAGAGCTCCTGCATAAATCCAGCCGGGCTAGGTTTTTGACACCAAAAACAGCCCTTCTTGCTGGGTAATATCAAGAATGCACTTTAAGGCTCCCAAAGATTTCTTTGCAGCCTTTACTTGTCCCACACTTGATGTCATATGGCATCAGGTATAGAGCAAGTAGATGTGGCTTGGGGGAAATGGCCATGACGCAATGTAGGACCCCATTACCTGTTTTAGCCCATGTCACTCTGATCTTAGATCATTGGGGGTGGGGTGGGGGGTGCCCTAGACCTTGAAACTGACAAATCTTCAAACTCAGCAACATAAATGCTCAGGGTTAGGGATCATATGAAATTTCATGTTATATCATTTCATTATATCAACATTTAATCCTGGTGCTGCAAAGGGCTCATTATCCTTGTTGCATGCTGTGTTTCCTGGGATGAAGCTTAGCTCTAGTCAGGGCTGGCCCACTCTTGCTGCTCCAGCAACAATAGCTACAGCTGGATCCTCCACCTTGCTACCAGCAGCCTCTTGGTGTATAGGAGACACTACTGATTTCCTCCCTTCCCTAGGGAAGAAATGGTGAAGATGTCCCTCTGGGGTCTCCTGGAATCTTCACCTGCCTGGTGTGATTCAGTGGGCCCTTTCCCCACACCCACACCCACGACAGCCTTTGGGTAAGGTTGATTGGATTCCCCACCTTGTTCCCAATGTAGATTTTTATTCTCCCCTTTTTCCTAATGCAGAAATTCATTCACCACTTCATCCCTTGTGGGAAGGTGCCATTTTGTAGTTCGCCTCAGGTGCCAAAATGTCTTTCTAGTGAAAATGAATTATATACATTCAGCCCCCTCTTTCAATCAGGTTTTATCAGGCATCTTGGGGTAATGCTCATTTAAGAACTATACAAAAAAGCACTGTTGCACATACATAGAGACAGATTGTTCTGCTATATAGACAAAAGAAGTGTGTAAATTATTCTGGCAGATTTCCCAAAGGTTAATTGAAAATAGCCATAATCAGTTATAATTCTTGATTTTTTCCATCTAGATTTATTAATGTTATGAAGATCTTCTGGGCAATTCTTACTCAGTTGTATTTATTCATACTGTTCTAACAACAGCATAGAACTTTTTCTTAGCAATTAAGGATATGTTGGCATATTGAATGATTTTTAAAAAAAAACAAAAACTAGGCAAACTTACGTAGCATACTTCCACAACATCATGTGGGTCTCTCAATCTTTTAGATATTTTAGCTGCCTCTATCAAGGTTTTTGTTGTTTTTTATTTTCTTTAACAAAATGCTGCCTTTAATAGAGCTGACGCAAAGCAATAGCTCTGTTTTATTGACAGTTACACTCTGGGGCCGAAATCACTATGAGCTGATGTGTTAATGAGTTGTTAATGGTTTTGGAGGAGATATAAAAGACTGCTAAGGTAGTATTAGAAGCAACTGCATTGTCATCTTGGTGTAAAGGGAAAGTGTGTGTGGAGTCAAAATTAGGTTCTTTGGAGACAATCAGTGGATTGACTTCACCCAGTTTTTGGCATCACAAGCAGAAACTCAACACTATTCATTTAAAAATCACAATATTTCTTGGTTTCCAAAAATACTTGGGCAGTGCCAGGCATTTCCTTCTAGTATTTATGTATTTGTGTGTGTGCATATGTAAATATATATAAATTATTAACATATATTTAACATTTTGCTGATTATTTTTCATTTCAGTTCATTTTTTTTAATCAGTGTTGATCAGATTACATATTACTAAAACTTTGTACAGTATATCAGAATGTGAACATATTTATTGTAATGTATCTAATACAGTCAAAGCTCTTCACTTCTAAAAATGGAATCCAGTTTGATGATTCTTCAATTTACTTGCAACCTTATATCTCCTCCGTTACAATAGGGGATATAAGCAAGTAACAAGTGATTAATGTAAAGTTATCTACATGAAATATGCTATACCAGGCTAAATGTTCCCACGTTATTTAGAATCACTTGAGTATCTGCATTACTCATCCAACATGTTGCCAGTGGTGTCATTAAGAAATGACCTCATATCTTCTAAAGGTAGATTCAGCTTCACAGCCCAGTATACAACCCATCCATGTAAGGCAAAATAAGCCAAGGTATTCGTGTTTGACCACTAGAGCAATGAATTACACTCTGCAGTGTAAGTGGTATTAGCAAGCACCCCATTTGTCACTGACCAAGCTGTCATTTAGTCTTTGTCATAAAAGCACAATAATATACTCCTGAGCCCTCTTCCTTTGGCTGCTATAAAAAGACCCCTCTTTTCTTAAAGCTGCATAATAGATAGTCCTGGGCTAGAAGGTGATCATGTCTCTGCAGTGAAATAAGTGCATCAGTTATCCTTACCTCTTTGATGACACCCCACTTCCCAGTGCTATGAGACACAAAATACAGGCAGTGGTAAGTCAGGTTAAATTAAAGTCTGTAACTATCAAACCTATTTTTCTTTATTCACAAATAATCTAAATTCATCTGAAAAGCTGCTTAAATATGAAAGCAATGTACAAACATTTTGGTGTATTCCATAAAGGTATCCCCAGGCACCATAGTTCCTTGGCGGAAGCTGAAGTGTGACTTGAAAAATTAAGCCACCCTGTTGGATCATCCCTCACTATGTGGTAAAACCAGACATGGTGTCGTGTGCACACCCAGCCAAGGAAGACAAGCAGCCGATAGTAAATTCTTTATTGACAAAAACACACAATTACAGCGCACCAGATAGAAATGCACGCAACTGTGGGACCAAGCCACTCTGACCACCACCACCCCAGTTTGTGTAGCCTTGTCTGACAGAGTGCGCAGACACAAACTGAGACATGAAAGTTGTCCCTGTGCTTTTTTTATACAAGCTCCCATTGGGGGCAGTGGGGCAGGAGAGATCAGGTCCCTCACCCAAACTGCCTCTTACCTCCATTTCTGACATGCCCTGTCCCCCTCCTCCAGTTCTTACTGCTTCAATCCTGGCTCCTGCCTTGCGGGTGGCACCAAAATTCATAAATCACTGCCCTCTCTCCTGGGTCAGCCTCTATGCCCCCTTCCTCCATCACACATTCAGCGGAACCCTGCCAGTCCCTGACATCTGGTAGAAAGATGGGTACCAAATATGGGCAGAGGTATCCCCAGGAAGGTGTAGAACTACACTGTCATATACTGGTCCAGTTCATACTGTAGTTATTGGGCAATTAAGGAAAATATAGTCCCAATATCAACTGACCGAGGGAAGGCTTGTGGGAATGTTGTGGATAGTAGGAGAGGATATATTGATTAAATATTATCCTTCCTCACTCACGCTAGTGAGTCAGTAGCAGAGTACATTCCCCAGTGTATTGTAGGCAGCTAGTTGGTATATTTGTATGAATCTCTTTACTTAAGCAATCCAGTCTGGCTTTGTCCAGATTGGGTTATTCCTGGTAATTTCCCCTTTTATCCCTCTTAAAAAGAATAAAGGCACAACAGTCTTCTTTTAAAAGTAATAAAAAAATTTCTCACATTCAGTTCACAGTTGGCTCCCTGAAGGCAGGTTTGTAGTTACAGAATAGAGATTGAGTTCATCCCATATGAGGATTGGGCTCATGGCTGAGAGCCAGCAGACAGCAAAAGCATCAGTATCAGAAGAGAGCAGCAAAAGAGTCAAAGAGGAAGATGGCTGCATGACTGACCCTTTTAAAAGGGTCTCACATGATCACATCCATCTACCTGGTCACAGGCAGGGGGAGGATGCTCCAGACCAGGTGTGACAGGAAGTCCTCCTGGCTGGAGTACCATCCCCGTGTGTCCACTCTGAGCAGACAGGAAATGTTGTACTTGACTGCTTATGTTACATCCCACAAAGTTTTGGGTGGTATGCAGGACACAATATTAGATTACCTTTCTCACAGTAGCAAACAGATTGCTTATTCAGTTTTCAGGCTGTGTGTAATTTTTGTGTTAAAATAATATGTCTCTCCAATTTTAATATGTGGGAATCTTGTAAAAATTTGGCATGCTCTGGTTTATATCAACAATACTGTCAGACCGCCATACCAATTTCAAATGATACAGTAAGAGCCCATTGCATGGTCCAGCTGCATTCAAATGATTGAGACATTGTGCAAAGTGGTGTAAAAGTAGAAATTAACAGAAATTACATGTCACAAATTGTTCAGATTTGTTATTTGATCACAGTTGATTCTGACTCAGAATATTCCTTGTAATTCCTCAGGAGGAATTTAAAACCATCTCAGTGGAAAGCCGTACTTGGTGCGCATAACAATCTGAATTTGTCATATCCTCAAATAGTTATTCAAGAGATCGATCAAATCATCATAAATCCCCATTACAATAAGCGAACGAAAGATAGTGACATTGCTTTGATGCATCTTCAAATCCGAGTGAAGTACACAGGTGGGATCATTTTCTTTTTCTGGTTTCTTTCATATGGTGAAGTGATTTAGAGTCAAATCTGGAATAACTTTGGAAAGTTAAGATACTACATGTTTCCAAAAAAATAATAAAATAGACCTGAGTAATGGATGCATTCTGGACTCATTGCTTTGGAGGAGCTGCTTGTATAATGACATCACAAAATGGACATAATGGACACTGGAATTGAAACTGATTGATCATTTATTTTTCACAGATTACATTCAGCCCATTTGCTTCCCAGAAAATACAAAACAATTTTTGCCAGGAACTAATTGCTCCATCGCTGGCTGGGGAAGAACTACAAATCAAGGTACGTCATCACACTGTTAAAAGGCCCTATTAAAATCCAGAGCAGAACTTTTTCTCTGTGTTTTTTTGTCTCTGTGTTTTGGTATTTTCATGATGCAATCAATACAAGGTACTTGAAGTAAATATATGTTGCTATGCAGAAAAATATTTTTCTTATAACTGTCATAGCACTAGCTGCAATGGAACAAATTATACCCCCCACCCAGGAGAGCTGTTGGACCAAAGTGTGGGCCATAAGAAGAAAAGATAAGCCCTTTTTTTACTCTGTGGGGCAAACAACAGGTTGGGTGTGGATATTTTTATCTGGAAAATGTTGTGCAAGGAATTAGTAATTTAGCCACCTGCTCCAATCAAATTAGCAGATCAAGGTGACTGCTTTTCAATAATGCATGGCATGTAGTTTAGCCCTGAATAAGTAATGCACATTGCAACCAATATGCATAGATCTGCACCAGTTAAAAAGGACAGAATGCAGTCAAGGCCAGGGTTAAGGAAATCAGGAAAATCAATACATGATGCAAATACATAAGGCCTCATTTCTCACGAATGCCTACCAATCCCATCAAGTTGCTCCATGGAGAAGAAAGTTATTTTTTCCATTCTGATATGTTGGTTTGCATGTTGGCCTCTGCTTCTAGACCATGGTTCACCGGCAGATGCACATGTGCCTACAAAGACCCTCCCTGTCATTCACAATGTATCTCTCTCCACTGAGGTTCATCCTGAAAGAAGCATTTTATTGTAGACAATGAAAGAGGTTGTGCTGTGTGCTTGGTTGCAGGAGGGGTGCCCACAACAGTTTCTCTGGTTTGCAAATGTGCCCACAGGTCCTCTGTTCTAGCCTATGCTTTCAATTATATGTATAAACAAAGGGCTATATTTAAAGATACCAATAAATCAGAAACAGCAAAGAGTTTTCTGGCACTTTAAAAATACTAGCTGAGTTGTTGTCGCATTAGCTTTTATGGACCTGAGCCTATTTCATTCGATGCCTCAAGTATCCTCCTCATTTGGCAAACACATAGATGTTTACAAACAATAAAAACCATAAATTGAGGGCAGCTCTAGTCTACAAAAGCTTGTGCCGCAATAAATCTGTTTTGAATGTGTCACACATTTTCAAACAGATATTCAGTTATCCTTTAGGAATTATTTGTGACTTGCAAAAAGTTAAATATGATTTTCATTGTTCTATAGAGAAATATTTTGGCTAAATTTTTATGCAGTATTAAATGGAATGCTTTTGGTAGTGCAACCAACATAAATTTGCCAGTTTTAAAATAGTTTAGTTTCAGTTAACAGCCTACAAATTTAAATGTGATTTCTCGCCCACCCCCCTTTCAAATTTCATAGATTCTTGTGGAAAACTGATCTTAGGATTCAGCTAGATTTAGTCTTAGCGTTTCATTCTTACAATTTTTTGGCTTTAAATATCTTACTTATTTGTAGTTTAATAGAACATTAGTATTTCATCTAATACATTTGTATTCGATCATGGAACTCAAAGAGGCATAGGTTCTCAGGCACTCTCCCATCTAGGTACTGACTGCACCAAAACCTACTTAGGTTGAGCAATCATGCAAGGACCCAAACATTTGGTGGGGGGGGTACCCTTTACCAAGGCTCAGAGATGCAGCTGGGACCAGCCAGCAACCTCATTTCCATGGAAGGTAAAATGGAAGCTAAAATGTAAGCCAACAATGAATGCATTTCTTTTGACACCCCATTCAGTCCTAACATGTTAATTAATTTCAATGGGTCTAAGATTCTATGTGAATCAGAGAATTGAAGAGTTGGGAAGGATCTCGAGGTCATTTAGTACAATCCCCTGTAAGGCAGGAATCACAGCATAGCTGAACACCACCCAAGTTGTGTGAATGTCAATAGTTGTGACAATCTTTGTTTTTAACAACTAAAAGGAGATGACTGACCACCTGGCTATGTTAGTCCAAACTTTAAGCCAGTCTGTGCATTATCACGGCTATGCTCATGTACACATCTGCTACAAGCTCATCTTGTTGACTTTCTAAGAGTCTTGCTGCAACCCCAAATGTACAGACATAAGTAATTATAAATGAATTATTCAGGTTTCCCAAATGTAGGTATTTAAAATAGGTGTGTGTGTGTGTGTGTGTGTGTGTGTGTGTATACACATGCATATTTTTCTTTCACACTTCATGTGTTTGCAGCAGAAAATACCTGATATACATTGTTTCCTGCAGCAGTTATGAAGCTCCCTACTCATTATGGAAAGCTAGCTGCTCATAGACTTCACTGGATTTATTAGCACGGTAACACAGGCAGTATAAGGCATCTATAAACTGTCCGTTGGAAACGAGCAATGTTAGAATGAATGAAAATATTGCTTGAAGAACTTGTTTTACATTATGAATCAGGCTCATTCAATGCATATGTTTAAACAGGTTCTGTGGCAAGCATATTGCAGGAAGCAGAAGTCCCTCTTATAACACATGAGAAATGCCAGCAATTGATGCCAGAGTACAATATTACTGAAAATATGATATGTGCAGGATATGATGAAGGAGGAACTGATTCCTGTCAGGTAAAATTGATAAGATATGTCTTCTCTGCTACAATACAGCTGGGGAAACCCAGCCAGATGGGTGGGGTATAAATAATAAATTATTATTATTATTAGGCACATTTTTTAATTCTCTGATCATTACTTATGGTGCTAAATGTTCTATATCATAATTTCATAACTGATATATGGAAAAAGCATTACTTAACTAGGGAGCTTTCTTTAAGGACAGCATCATTATCAACATCATCATTATCATACTGCTTTCAATTCTTCTCATTTATGACCTTAGCATACTTGAATTTATTTAGAGAAACAACAACCTCTAGGCTCTGTCACCTCCAAGGGAATACAAAGCAACTACTGATAGCATTGCAGGCCATGGGCTGCTGTCATCCTCAGATTGTTTCTAAAGATATTCTGCCGTCTAAGAAAGGCAATGTCTATTTCTCCAATGCTTACAAAAACCCTTCTGACACAACTTTCATGCTGGCTCAAAGAATTTAGCTTAAAGTAGAAGCTCATGCAGAGGGTTCTGTTAATACTGCGTATAACTGACAGGCATCTCAGTGAATGCTGAAGGCCATAGCAAATCCCATTTTAGCTTTACATAGCGTTTTGTCTCCAATTAAAAACAAATGTATGTAACAATATTTGTCATTCCAGGGAGATTCTGGTGGGCCACTGATGTGTCAGGAGAATGAAAGGTGGTTACTGGCTGGTGTGATATCCTTTGGCCGTCAGTGTGCTCTGCCAAATCGTCCCGGCGTTTATGTGAAAGTTTCGAAATTTGTCGACTGGATAAAAAAGACTATCCATTAGCACCATTTAATATATATATATGGAAAACTAGAGGGTTATGTTCAACAAAGCCACTCCATTACTACAAGGATTTCCACTTGTTCAGAAGAACTTCCACTGCCTCTTCTCCCCCTGTGTTTCCACCCCCCACAATAAGTATGTCCTGGGGAAACTTAACAGGACAACAGTGTCCCGTTAGGACTACAAGATCAGCAGAGAAGGGCACTACATTCAGAAGTGCAGAGAACGGTACCCCAGGAGATAGCGTTCTCCATGGCAGCCCCTAAATGGTAGAACTCTCTCCTGAGGTAGAAGTGTCTTCATCGATCACTGTATGCTATAAATGCACCTCTTTACCCTGAAACATCAACTGTGACATGTATACCATAGCATCATAGAATTGTAGAGTTGGAAGGTACCCCAAGAGACATTTAAGCTAACCCCCTACAATGAAGGAATCATAGTCTTTAAAATGTATTTTTGTAGTACTGAATATTGTTCATGCCTGCTCTCTCTGCTTAACTTTCGTTGTGCCTTTCTCATCACAAATAAAGTACTGAAGACGCTGCAAGTAAGCCTTCCTTCTGTTGATTTTGGTTACTGGAAATCTCAGTCCTGAAGTATTATTTAAGATGCTGAGGTAGAAGCAGAGATTTCAGCTGTCAAAAAAATGTTCCTGGAACAGGCAACTTTGGCAGAGCCATCCATTTCTGAAGGTCAAAATGCCACACAGCTTCACTTCCTTACTGCAAGGATATACCTAAACAACCTCCATTGGTGTTGGATCATTAGAATGACTGTAGTTGTGCTTTTCTGATACTGCACTGTAAGAAGCTGTTCATATAAGCTTCTTCTCAATTGCCACATATATCCCTCCCTCAACTGCCACCGCCTTTGAATAGCAGTTGTGCTTCCCAGGATCTTGAAAGGATCAGTGACCTAGAAACTGTGATGCACTGGGACAGTGTCTTCTCTCTCCCAGTGCAGGAAAGAGGAAAAACACCAAAACAAGGAGACAAAATGTCCCCCCCTGTGCCAGTGACTGGCTTCTGTATACTAGACCCTGGACATTTCTGCCTTTCCTGACATAGCAGAACACAGGTGGGGACAATTTATTTATTTAGATCATCAACAATTGTTCTTAAAATCTAGTTACTTGGCACAGCAATCTTTGCCTTCCCACCCCCACACCCTTTTTTTTTTTTGTTTCCAAGGACTGAATGAATAACTTGCCATGGGCAGAATGACTCAAGTTGCCCCTAGACAAGCATATCAAAATACCCTTTTTGCTACCAAAGTGTACTCATTACAGTTCATCAGTTTGTTTCCCCATGGTTTTGAAGTTTATCCTTGCAAAATAGCACCATGTTGCCAATTGTCTTTAGTAATGTAAGTCAAAGAACAACAGTAAAATCACCTCCTTTTTCAAATAAATAATCCTACAGTCAATATTTTTATCAAATTTTTATGCAAAGATAAATTATTTTGTTACACTGTAAATTTATATTAACTGAATTTACAGTACACCCATTAATAAGAGACAATACAACGTATGAGAAACTAACAAGGAGGGAGTTAAAATTTAAACTAGAAATGACTGTTTAGAAGTGACATATACAGTAGACATTTTTCCATATATATTCCAAATGCTCTTTCCATCTCATTACTATCTGTAGCAGAGTCATTTTCCATAGCAAAATAAATGCATTTTTTTTTTCTTTTGGAGTGCCATGTTTTGCTACTGAATTCAAAATCAAACATTGCATATAAAAATGATCTGAACAATTGCCTCAAGGGGGAGCTTCCAGTTCATTTTGCTGATCCATTGCAATTCCAAGCCATTCCAAGCTAATATCTGACATGACATTATAATAGATCCTGAATGGAAAAGTGTTATTCCTGCTTTCTTTTCAGTCTTATCTCTATACCTCCATGCTGCTGTCTTTCCGTGCATTCTTAGAAATCCATAGCGTAGACTGGTCCGGACTGGTTTTTGTTCTTCCTTTACTGGAAAATTAGAAACACAATTGTATATACATGCATTTATTATTCATCTATTCCTTTCATATGTTCATGTAAGTATGCAATGAAAGATGGGTGACGGTGCACAATAAACAATTGTAAAGGCTTTCCAAATGGTCTCTGCTACTAATGTTGCTTGGTTGGCCTACTGTAAAAAGATTATGCACTTAAGCAGCTGGAAAGTGACCTCACACTCGACAGGATGTTTTTCTTGGTAAGGAAGTATACAAGATGAGCCTATCAATGCTGTGCTTTCTCACAGATCTATCATCTATATGATCCTCAAAATCTATGCCCACCCTCAGGCAAACCTTAAAGTCTAAAGCTTAGATCCAGTAAGCTTCATGTGGTACTTTACATATTTATCTTACAGTACATTAATTCATTACCTGATCTATAGCTTCTTTGTATTGAGTCAAAAATTCCTAATGGTAGTTAATAGCCATAGCTGTTGAATCAGCCCAGTGGCTTTCCTTCTTCAATCCACCATTAGCAGTGTTATACTTTGAAACCAGTTTTGCAGTATGCATTTATTTCTCAGCTAACCTAAGGGCACTACATCCATAATGTGGAAGCTTCTTTTCTATGGCTCCATTCAAAGGCACTGCAGCTAAAAGCCTAGCAATAAATTTGAGTCCTTCCCATACAACTGTTAGTCATCTGAGATGCATGGGTTGGGCTAGGAACAATCTGATAATAAAAGCACAATTGATCCCAACCACATTGTGCCAAACCTTCAGAATTTGCCACAGTGCCATGGAATGAAGCAAGGAAAAGTTACCCCCCCATCCAGTACTGCTGTTTTTAAAGGACACTTTGAGTGGGATGTCATCTGAACAAAGGTAGCAAAACTATGTTCTGAAACAAGTGCATAGATTGAACTATATCCATAGATATAGATCAACATAATTTCAAGGCCACCAAACTAAATGAAGCCAACCGAGCCCTGGTGAGGAGATTCTGTCCCTGTCCAAAGTTTCTTGGAAGAGCGTTCTGTAGATCACAGGAGTTGCCAGGATCCCTAGCTCTACCTTAAAAATACAATCATAGAAACTGAGAAATATACCAAGTTAGAATCTAAACTTTCTGCAAGGCATTCAGATGATAATGGAGATGAGTCATTGAAGCAGTTTCTCCTTGCTTCCCTAGAAGAAAGGAAAGGGAAAGCCACTAAGCATGAATGAGTTGCTGGTTTGCCATAAAGCACAGGAGAAATGCTCGGTGTGGATGCTTCTTGTGCCTTACTTTGGTTTTAGTACTACCAGGGGGACCATCATAACTTTTTCTTCCTTTGAGAGCAAGAGCAATAGAGCATCCTGTTGGAGCAGAACTTGGTGTGTTCTTGACATAAGTTTGCTGCTGAAATGGCATTTGTGCGTCAACTCCGACCTCTCCTTGCAACTTTCAGTCAGATATGCCTGTGTTGTTTTCCCAGCCCACTTCAGCTCCACATCATTGACTGCAGCCGATTGGTTAAGGAAATGGGGATGATGTAAGACTGACTAAACTTTATGGGGATGAGGACAAAGCTCAGCATGGGATCAAATCCTTCTGTTCCTGCCATTGCTCTTTCTTCTGCATAGGTAGCAGAAGCAGCAGTGGCTACGCCCTCGCTTGCAGTGCAGAGAGAACAGTGCCCACAATATTCCAAGACTACGTACTGTGGTTGTGTGCACATCATACATTTAAAGCACATTACTTTCCCCCATAGAACCCTGGGGACTTTGGTTTGCTGAGGGTACTGGAATTGTAGCTCTGTGATGGGTTAAGCTACAGTTCCCAGGATTCTTCAGGTGGTGTCATGTACTTTCAATGTTTGGTGGGTACACAGCCTGTGTCAAAGAAAGTGTTTCAGCTGATTCAGTCCTAAAAAACAGCCTGCTCCTGTGATCCTTTTGATAACAGAAAGCAGGGTAGATAGCAGGGTAGAAAAAGTAGTAAGTTCAGTTTTGCATTGTAATCAAGTACACAACAAGGACCTTTTCTTCTATCTAAAGGCTGTTTGCTTAGGCATTGGGTTTAAATGTTAATTTTCTAGTTTCTATACTATACAACAGGTGTGTGGAAGCAGCAGCCATCCAGATGTTGATAGACTCTTATTGGCCCCAGGCAGCATGGCCAAAAAGCAACAAAAATGCAAAATGTAGTCCAATAACATTTGGAAGGCCAAGGTTCCCCATGACTAATCTACAAAAGCAACGAGTTCTTTACACTAGCATGAGAGCAGCATTAACTTACTTAGAACAAAAGGTTTTGCAAACTCAATATACCTGCTAATAATGTTGAACACATTATATATTTGACGATATGGCTACATTATTAAATGTGGACTTCCTGCCATTTTAGTCAAGGCATAACACTGGAATAATATTCATTTTCAAGTGCAAATGAGAATGGCCTTGCTTTGTGTGTGGAATGGCCTTGAATATGAGTCAGCTGGAAGGATTAATTTTATAATACATGAGCTTAAGTTCCAAGACACTCTTTCTGTCCAGTCATAATAGTTACCTTTTATGCAGCATCTGGAAACAGCAAGTCCCGAAAGCCACTAATATCAACAACAGCAGTGGTATAGTAGGTATAACAACATAAATTAAATTGGGAATTAAACCTACAAAGAAAAGGGGTTTCATTATTGTATTTTGATTGAAATCATGGGCTCTGCTTGCACAAATTCTCTTGTACTGCACCAGTTAATCACAACAGTCAGAGATCTCTTAAGCCAATGGCTCACACATATGAACTAGCGTGATCTAGTCCATGAAATCTTACAACCCAAGAGGTGTCCAACCTTAAGGACTCTACTCTTCCAATTTTAAAACTGTAGACTGCAGAATACCACCCTGAGGCTCTTTCAAGGCCTCAGTGAAAAAACTGGTCATGGCAGTAAAGCTTTCCTGAAAGACAACTTGCCCACCTCTAAAGACCTTTCCACATAAAGTACAACTGCAAAAGTTTTGAGAGTGACCCAAGGTTTATCTTCAGTCCTGGCCAGGGCTTTTGGTTCTTATCATTTCCTTTCTGTGTTGAGTGGTAGCAGTGGAAGCAGGGAGTGCTGAACCCAGTCCCATGTATGATTGGTAACCAGATGGTCAACCCAGCACGGGTGCAGGTTGCTTCAATAGTACCCCACCTCCAGCACTACCTAACAATGTAGGGGAAAATGCATGCCCCCTACTTCAGCATCATAGCTGTAGGCAGTTGTACTCAGCAAACAACCTAACCAGCCACCATTTATAAAAGCCAAACATACAAAACAAGAACCTGATTGGGAAGGTGCAGAACTTTAGCAAAAAGCTGACTTTCCAAAACTTGTTCATTAACCAAATGTTTTGTTAGATCATTTTTTTTTTAATTAGTTATTCTGCGGTCCATTAAGCTTAATGGACTAGATTAAGACTTGAACATGCAGAACCCCCTGCAATTCATTCACTGTGTGTGGCTCTGAAGTAAGAATGAGAGGAAACTGTGGGAGAAAATACTTGGCATATTGACTCTGGCTGTTTGCGATGTGATGTCTATCCTTGACAAAAAGCATTTCCCCTTAAAAACCCAAGTAGAGCTATTTGCCCTGCAGCAACGACATCTTGAATTCTTCTTCTTTTTAAAATCCCAGAGCTCAGGTTCATTTTAGTTTCTGGGAGTACAGCCAGTTTATTCATATGATGAATAAGTGGGGTTTGCATGTCTGCAGTCTATGCTTTATATTTAAATATTACTCAGATATCAGAATCATATGCATCAATTACCAGTTTCAGTAACAACCACCGGAAAATGATCTTCTGGCTTGCTTGAATCGTGAGGCTTCCCTGCTGGCACCGTTGGCTGGGCTTCTGTGAAAGTAATTACATATTTTAAGAAAACAAAATTGAATTCCTGTGTTGGGACATCTGCACATATTACTGCACTTTGCAAAAGCTCCAAAGGCAACAGTATTAATCAGTTTTGAACATGAATACGTGTAGGTGATAAACTCGTCTAAGGACTTTACTGTAACATAGGGATAACATCTGGAATAAGGGTTACAAACTGAAATATTCCAAAATGTATCCATTCACTTATAAAAACATACATGGTAACTATTATTCTCTACAGGATTCATTGTTCAGCTGTTCCATGGCTACTCTGCTTTTCCAATCTATGGATTGTTTTGCTTTTGGAAATGATGGATGAGATTCTATTGCTTTACCACTGCAACTCAATCCAAACGTTTCTTACCATAATCTGGATCTGCTCTGTCTCCTAATTCTTTTTCTAGGATGTCATCTGTTAAAATAATATATAAACAAGGCAGGGAGGAATAGGTTGTTTACATTTTTCAGGCAATCCTAAATTTAAATAAGCAGCTTTTCAGATACTTAAAACCATATGTTGACAATTGTGTTCAGTGGGATACATTTTTGTACTTAAGGACACAATACATCCTGTAGCATCTTAAGAAGTACTTAATTAGAGTTGCAATTCTATACTGACTTCCCTTGGAATAAGTCCCATTGAACTCAATGAAATTTATTTATAAGGAGATATGTATACTACTGTATGGATAGTTAATGCAAGATCCTATGCTTGAGGCAGAAAATAAAATAGTGTGTAATGATTAGTTTAACTTCTGCTAAAATCTAGGCCCTCTATTAAAATTTGAAGCAGGGTGATGTTGCCTCTTAGTAACAGAATAACATAGTACCCCCCTGGTTTACATTTTATCTTGCTTCTATACACTAATCCAACTAAACTGTGAATTTCACTTGTGTTAATGAGATACATGGTCTGCACTAGGGTAAAGTCACCAGGACTTCAAGGGTTTGAAAAGTCAACCAGAAATCACACATAACATCTGAAGCTCATCTTCAGCATTTCCTACCTGGACCATATTTGCAGATAAAATTGTGCTTCATGTTGCATCTGTCATCATTCCATTGGTAAAGGTAAGGCCCTCCCAAGCCAGGATTTGCAGTTGGTTGATGATACATCACAACACAAGCTTCGCTCCCACAGGAAGGCTCATCTGTATACCAATTTCTATAACAATACACAAATTACAGTAAAAATTAGTTTGAAAACTATTATTGCTTGTGAGTCCGTTTTTGCTTTGCTGGATCTAAAAGAGGGAGCAGGAGTAGCTCAGTGGTAAAGCACATCCTCTGCAGGCAAAGCATCCAAGGTTCAATTCCCAGCAAGGACTGAGAAATACTTCATTCTGAAGCTTTGGAAAACCACTGTATGCCTATGAAGACCAGAGGTAGCCAACATGGTGCCTTCAAATGTTGTTGGACTACAATTCCCATCATCTTCAGCCTACATAGCCAATGGCTAAGGAAGCTGGGAGCTGCAGTTTAACATCATCTGAAGGACAGCATGTTGCCTACCCTGGATATAAATAATACTATGCTAGATTCAGTGATGGAGCAGAGAAATGGGGAAAGTGAGACAAAAACAGAGAAAATTGAGATTAGCATTTATCCACCCACTTAGTCACATTTCCATACATGCTGCCAGCATTTGGTGGGTATTTCACTAGTAAACATTTCTTTCTTTATAAACTACTAATACATAGTTCATTATTCTTATTTCACAGGATCCATTTTCTCTTCCGGTATTATGGGGCCCCAGGGCAATATCAAGTCTGCCTAGCAGCCCCAAATCCCCTTTTGGTCTCTGTTTGCAGCAGCAGCAGCAGCAGCAGCAAATGACACAAAATATTTACCTGAAGAGTGAATTGCTTCCATCTGTCCACTTGTAAAGATCAGGGCAGGCACTTGATGTGGTTTGTCCCTCACCACTTCTCCATAGCCCGATCCAAAAGTCCCCGTCAGAAATGCCGAGGCCTGATTTTGTGAGGTTCTGCAGCATGTTTTCTATTAACTTTTGCTCTGTTTCACTTTCGAGGCTGAGGAGTACTCCGCCATCTATTTCACAGGCCAGGCGAGCCTCCTGGAATCCCAGACGTCTGGACAAGTCTTGGAAATAGGCTATCTTGTAGCAGGGGTGTGTTGAATCACCATAACATATCTTTTGCCCTAAAAAAACAACCACACACCAATACAGAGACATGTAGTTATAGGTTAATGGAGACTTATTTCATAGCAAAACAGCATATGAATGACATCAGGGTTACATTCCCCTACTCTTGCACCATCCTTTATTTAACTTTTCCCAGAATTCCATGCTAATGATTGAAAAATTAATAAATAACTCAAAAATGTTATGTGCCTTAAAAATGTAAGAATCTGATAGGATAACTTTTGAGACGCAATGGGTACAATATCCATGAAGGTTACAACCCACAAGAGCAGACTAAAAGGGGGGGGGGAATCAATGAATCATGAATATATGACTGGCAGAATCCGAGACCAGGGAGAAGAGTCGGTGAAAGAAGACTGGAAGAAATTTAAGGACTATTTACAGAAATATTGCAAAATTAAGGAACTTTAGAAGGATGTTGGATAGAAACTAAGAGGTTTTAGCTGTAATGCTTTAAGAGACATGGAAAAAATAGGGTAACTATTGGGTAAATGGTTAAGGGTAAGGATTTGCTGAACCAACAAATTGAATTGGAATACAAAGAAGGGAGGTATGAGGAGGTCCGGGGAAATAAGAGTAAGGAAGATAGGCTATGGAACATTATTGTGTTTTTAACTGTTTTATTTTGTATGTGTGTTTTTTTTCTTATTTTTTACTGTTTTTGTTATATCTTAAAACTGTATACTTTTTCTTTATTCTGTACTTTCATGTATCTTTAATAAATATCATTTATAAAAAAAAAACCAATGAATCATGAATATATTTTCATTATTATTATTTTTTGTGGGAGCCATGAACATTTTTTTGTGGAAAATGAAAGAAATGGAATGACATGAAAATGACACCTTTCCGCCATTGATCCTCTCTACCCTAACTGCTCTGCTCCTATCCAACTACAGAGATTGATGAGCAAAAGCTGTCTCCTGAGCAAATGTCACATGATAGGTCCTGAGACAAGTGTAACTTGAACATCAAAATGCTGATACTGGTCCTGTTAAAATGGAACTGGAAAGGACCTCATCAGACGCTTAAATGGAGTGAGTTTCAATGGAAGCATCCTTTCAGCTTTTAAACAAACTACAGTCCTCCATTATGAATTCAGAGCGCTGTGATTTGCACAAACTATGGTTTAACTAGAACAAACCAGTTTCCCCAGTATTCATGTTTTAAATACTTTTCTAATACACCCCTCAGGATCTAAAGCATGGCTTGTTCTTGCAAAACCTTTTAAGTTACAAACAATAGAAATGGGGAGAGGGTTCAAGGGTATGGGGACACCATTGAGAATGCCCTGTGTAAGGTGCCTGCCCAAGGTCTGAGCTGAAGAATCATGAGGCCACCACATTGCTGAAGCTAAGCAGTTCTGGCTCTGGTCAGTGAATAGATGAAAGACTGTCTTTGGGAAGCACATGAATGCTGTCTTGGATTACAAAATGGAAGGAACGTAGGCTACAAATGTAAGAATATAAACATATAAATATTTGGTTTATTGATTGGCCAGACAGCAGGACCTCGGATGTTGAACTGAGCATCTGGTGAGGCTCATATGGATGAAAGTGGTCTTTCAGGTATCCTTGGCCCAAACCGTTTAGGGCTTTAAAGGCTAAAACCAGCACCAGTAACCAGAAACTGTGATTTGTTCAAAAGTAGAAAGGAATGTTTCTAATCCTCTCCTTGTGACTGTGAAAAATTATGAGAGGGCAAAGCGCATGAACCCAATGCTCACACAGGTTCATAGCAGACATAGCATGAAACTATGGTTTCCAAACGACCAGTGCTATTTTTCTAGAAAAAGAAGTGCCGGAACTCACCATGAACATCTCTCTTGTTCTCTTATAATGGCAATGGTACCCACCTGAGAGGTGCTGGAACTGAACTCTGGCAAGTTCCAGATATGAAAAGAAAAAAAAAAAACCCTGCTAAGGACTCTGAAAAGAATATCTATCTACACTACATTGCTCCATAGTTACTTCAAGAATGGACTGCTACTGCAATGTGCTCTATGTGAGGCTGCTATAGAGAAGCTTTCAGAAACTTCAGCTAGCAGCAAGAGCACTAAGTGGGCTGGTCCTTGGGACATGTGACACCTTTGCTGTACCAACTGCACTAGATACCAGTAAGTTTTTGGACTCCAATCAAAGTGCTTGCTGGCACTACTGAAGTCTACCAGGCTTGAGGCCAGAATACTTAAAGGTCCTCCTTCTTCCATTTTAGGCTGCTCTATCTCTGAGCACATCTGATAAGGTTATGCTGTATATCTTCCCTTTTTCTGTAGTACGTCCAGTAAGAATGTGGAAGGGGACCTGCTCTGTGATGGCTCCCAGCCTATATAACTCCTTGCCTAGGTAGATATGTCATCCCCCACCTTACAATATTTTCAGTGCCTTTCTCAAAACTTCTTTGCTAGGCTAATACACATGGTTATGGGCTGGAAGCAAGGCTGCATTCAAATGTGAGGTTTGTTGTGTTAGTTTTACTGATTATAAGGCTAGAGTTTCTATCCCAATTTCTAATGTTCCTTTTACACTGCAGTACCAGCTGCATTATGGAACTGTGGCTTTTAGATTGACATACTGCCATGTCAAGCTGAATTTTGAACAGTGGGGAAGAACTCTTGCTGGGATATTGCCCCACTTTTCATCACATGGAACTACAATACAAAACTCAGCTTTCCAAGTTATCAGGCTTGCGAGTTAATGGGGTTGCAAACAGAATAAAAAACAGCAACAATTAGTATGGAAATAAGTGCTAAACCTCCACCAGATTTCCAAAAGTGGCTTTTATGTCATGTGAAATATCACATAAAAGATTGAAATTATCAGGTAAGGAAATGTCAGGGAAACAATAACGTGCTGTCTGAATGTAACACAAGTCCTGCTGAACTTAATGGGGTTTACTTCCAATAATACATGCATAGAATTGCACTATAACTTGATCACTTAACCATTATTTTTTGTTTTGTTTTGGGGTCAGTTATCTGCCACCTCATGCTGCCTTTTAATTGCCAGGTTTGGGTTTTGATTATGTCACATAGTTCTAAATTGTTGGATCATTTTAATCTGACTTTACTGGATTAAGTGGACAGTGTGATAGAAATCTAATTCATGGGTTGCATATTCTGATTCAGAGATATGTGCACATCACTGCTTGTACCTCACGCCCAAGCACATGTTTAGCCCTACCATATATGGCAGAACTGGTCAACTTTTCAGTGCCGCATGTGTGGTCCCAATTCTGCAACACAAAATCATATGCAACCCTAGGCTGTGGTCATGAGTTATGGCATCCAGACAAAGGAACCAGATGTACATTTGTTAGAAACCAAATTCACATTTATCTAACACCCATGTACATATATATATATATATGTGTGTGTGTGTGTGTGTGTGTGTGTAGATAGATAGATAGATAGATGATAGATATAATGTTTAATATGATAAATATATATATAATAACATATCTATATTAATATAATAAACACCCTGTTTAACAATATAGTATAAAGTTAAGACACAGAAACAAGGTGATCTGAATAGTTTAAGGAAAACAAGAAACAAATTGCAAACTCAGATGTGGACTCAGCCTACTGAAAGAATCATAGCATCATCCTTGTTTTATTTATTTTTGTATTTTCCCATGAAAATATAATTTAGACCAGAAAGCTTTATACCTACCACATCGTCTGTAAAATATCCAACAAATAGCATATCAAAAGCATGCAATATTGAATGAAGGTAGGCATGCATTTATTCCTTGCTGGCTTTCATGAATGAATTGAATAAAAATACTTTCCAGCTCCACAAGGAGAAAGCATATCTGGTACCAGATAAGGCCAACAGGAATGGGATAAGAGAAGAGGTCCTCGTATGGATCAGAAACTAGTTAAATAACAGAAATAAGAATATATGGACAGACTGCATCAAGGAGAGATGTGAACAGTGGGGTCCTCCAAGGATCTGTATAGGACCAGTGCTTTTTAAACATTCATAAATTATCAGTAGCTCTGGGGGAACAGAATGATATCCATATTTGTTCATGATCCCTCAATTGTTCAATGTTCTTAAAAGAAAGGGGGATTGCAAGGAACTCTTAAAAGAAACTCACAAAACTGCATGATGAGCATAGTAAATATAATTCAGTATACGTATAAAGTATGCACATAAAGTCTAAGTACAGTGGTACCTCGACTTAAGAACAGCCCTGTTTACGAACTATTCAGTTTACGAACTCCAGAAAACCGGAAGTAGTATCCCGGGTTGCGAACTTTACCTCGGTCTAAGAACGGAATCCAAACAGTGGAAGGGCACCGTCAGTGGGAGGCCTCATTAGGGAAAGCGCGCCTCAGTTTCAGAATGGTTTTGGTTTCAGAACGGACTTCCAGAATGGATTAAGTTCGTAAACTGAGGTACCACTATGTAAGTCCAAGTAGAAAGTGATTTACATTAGAGCAAAAAGAATCCTAACCACATAAATGACAATGGGATCTGAGGTTATGGTGGACAACTTGATGAAAACATCAAACCATTGTCTGACTGTGTAACTAAAAATACCGTTATCAAAATGTTGACCACATTTGAAAGACTGCCTATAAGTCTGGTTATTTTAAAAAAAATGCTACAGAGCTGGAATAGAGCAGTAAAAATTATCAAGTGGCTGCAGCAACTTCTCAATAAGAAAAGGCTACAATCACTGAAACTTATTTTTAAAATGTAAGTAAACTGTGGGAACATGACAGAATTATGCATGGTGTATAGAAGTACAGTGGTACCTCGGGTTACAGAGACTTCAGGTTACAGACTCAGCTAACCCAGAAAAAGTACCTCATCTTAAGAATTTTGCTTCAGGATGAGAACAGAAATCGTGCGGCGGTGGCGTGGCAGCAGCGGGAGGCCCCATTAGCTAAAGTGGTGCTTTAGGTTAAGAACAGTTTCAGGTTAAGAACGGACCTCCAGAACGAATTAAGTTCTTAACCCGAGGTACCACTGTAGATAGAAGTCTTTCTCTCTTTCTCATATAATACTTAGAAGCCATTTTTCCAATGAAAATGTATGGTGGAAGAATGAGGACAAATAGGAGGAAGGACTACTTCACACAGCACTTAGTTAAACCAAGGAATTCTCTACCAGAGGGAGTGTGATTTTTGCCACCAATCTGGACAGCTTCAAAAGGGAATTAAAGAGAACCATGAAGGATAAGAAACCGGAGAGTTTTGCTGGAGAGGCAAAGAGTGATGTTGACAAATGCCCATGAGTTTTAAAGAGGGATGTATGAGAATTCCTGGAAGATCAGGAAATGAAGAGACCAATAGAGGAAAAACCTGAAGGGAATAATAGGAGTAAAGACCAACTTGACATTTTTTAAATTAACAGCCACACCCTCAAATGCTACATAATAGGCAACAGATTGTCACAGCTGCTGAAAATGATGATAACAAATTCATTGATATCTCTGTTAATGTACCAAAGTTATTTTATTCATCCTACAAGTTGTCCTGACTACCTAAACGTCACACACAATTTCAGCTTGAGAGCTAACATGCCACAGAAAATGCAAGATGTGAGCCGATAAATAGAAAGAACAGATCTCTAGGGTAGCATTTTGACCCATCCATGATGTATCATATGATTAGCAATCATCCTTTCCTATTATGTTGTCAGAACTTTGATCCGATTCAGAAGCCAATCTTGTGCTGAATTGCATTAAGTACTATTGATGTTTCACTGAACCATACCCTTTTTTTCTTTTTCTTTTTTGTTCCATCGATGGGCTCTAATCTGCATTTTAGGATAAATCACATTACATTATGTCTCTTCAAAAACTACTGCCGCAGCATAATTTCATAATTGTACTCTGTATTCATTAGTAAGATAAATATATGGAAACTAATAGCTTCTTTTCCGCTAAGAAACATCTTTCTGCTTCAACATTTATGCTGGTCTTTCATCCCTCTAGCTGGTTATCTTTTGCCAAGCCTGCACAATATGTGACCCACAAAGCAGAATTCTGATGACCAACCAGGTATAGTAACCTGCCTGGTGCCTGAGAACACACACTTTTGGTGGTCTCAGGTAGGAAGCAAAACAAGGAGGTCGATCAAATTCTTTGTAAGCTACCATATATGACTTGGTGAGTCAGGGAGTGACTATTTAAAACAGTACAAGATCCCCTGGGGAGATATATTGCCAATATATTTTTTCTAAGTACACAAATGTCCTACCTAGCTACATCCAGAGAATCAGAACTTAAGAACATCTTGCCTGAGCATCCAGAATTTAAGATTCCCTTAAGCGCATGAGACACAAGTTTTATGGTAGGAGATCTCCCACTGGCCATCTTTTCCAGCAAATGAATCTGGGTTCAAAACTATTCTCCATGGGCACAGCTGAGTCACTAATAAAAGACCATACACTTAAAACGGTAACTCATGTGAACTAAACTTAAAACACGAGGGGTAGTAGAGAAATAATTGTATATCTGCTTAATAAAATAGGAGAAATAATATAAATGCAAAGAAGAATGGGTGATAAAGAAATGATAAAACAATAAGGATAATAAAGAAATTTGTAGAAATAAAGAAACAGTACAGCCATGTAAAATTAAAAAAGATAAGAAACAAATGAAGCCAAGCTTTCCTCTTATCCAAAGCTCCCTTCTAGTCCACCTATTTAAAAGTTAAATCAGTCTAGCCCCTTCTGAGTTTCAAAGTACTTCATATCAACCACTACAAAGGGCCTGGAGAACTTTTTCTATCCATCACTCCCCTGAGAAGAGAGGCAGAAAGTGTATACTCCAACTCACTAATCCTGAAATTCTGATATTGAATTCTCTTGATCTCTTGATCCAAGTACCCTGTTCTAGTTACTCTGTTGCAAGATTATTGTTTTGCTGTATGTTTTAAGCTATGGATGTTCAGAGTTGAATGTTTTAAGGATTTTACACATGGTTTTTGTAAATGGCTTGGAAGCCTATCTTGGCATTAAGTGGTATATAATTAATTAATATTAATCAATCAGAGGTGGGGCCAGACCTTTCTGTGTTGCTAAGAGGTGGGAACTATTCCACTCTCCTTGTTTGCAAAATAAAAAATAAAAATCAGGGGGAAAGTTTAAGCACTGTCCTTGTGATTTGTCCCACTATCTCGTAAACAGATTTTGACTCAGAATATTCTCAAAGTTATCTCTACCAAACGTCTTATGGCTTCACCTCATGATCATCTTCTCAGCCTCTTATCAAATACTGTAACAATCCCTTCCCTTTCCTTGTTATTGTGCAGGTCCCACAGTCTCATACACACAGTGCCTTTCCTCAGCAAAATTCACATTAACCCAGGGCAAAAGCAAGGTGTGGGTCACGTAACTCACCCAGGAGCACATCCCAGAAGAGGCACATCCTAGTTAGGGGTTGATAAAGTTGGGTGGTATATAAATACAGATAAATCAAATAATGTACATTGATGTGTAAACCCATTCTGAGCAGTATGCATCTATCACCTATAACCTAAAGTGTCACACTTCCAATTTAATGCAATCACAGATAAAGTGAGCTCTGAAAGAATCCACAAAGAACAGAGCTCTTCAGACCTGAGAGCATACATTAGTACTGTATCAAAGTTTATTTGCACATCTGACTAAAACAGAGTCAGCATTTTAGTTTTCACAGATTTCCAGAAGAAATGCAGAAGTCTAATTACCTGGATCAATACACGATAAATGGTTTTTCAACCAGCAAATTGGTATTATGCTGAAGGAGCAAATGAAACACTGTTTTACTTGTTGGTTTAAGTGGTATGCCTTTATCAAGGAAAAAGCCCTACATATTACAGTATTTCCTGAAGGCAATTGTGCGCCAAACTATTAAAATTCTGACAGCTTTACCGTTCTAAGTAGAAAATGTCTATTTTTTGGCATTAGTTCCACTCCATATATTTAATATGCTATAAAATGTGAGGCTGAGACCCATTTAGTTGTTTCTGTAATAGATGCTTTCCCCCGCCCCCATTTGATCTCATGGACCCTGCAGCTGTAAATTATAGGACCAGTATTGGCAGACAGCCAGAGTTCTGTCTAAGCAGAAGTCTCTTAAGAATGTTCCAGCAGTCTCAAACTGGTGGTATCTGTGGCTTCACAGAGATCTTGAAGCATAACTTGAAACCTAGGATGGGACACACTCTCTCTAAACATGAAGCTAAAGGTTAACCAATGGCTTTCCTGTGCAGGCTTCTGTTGGTCTAGTCAAAAGTGGCACACAAGCTCTTCTCAGCCTTGGGGTTTTCTACTTAATACACCCTAGCTGTGCCCTGGTTCAACAGAACAGAGAATAACTTTAAGGCATATATGTATGTGTACACTCATTTATTTATTTTCTTTACAGCCACTCAGATGAAACTCGTGATAATTGTACTAATAATTAAAGTGTTTGTATTTGAATAATATGGTATTACTAAATCCACATGAAGTTGCTTCTCATTCTGCTGTGATGTTTTTAACTCCCCCCCCTTTCTTTTTAGTAGAAGATGTTCTGATCAGTGGGAGACCTTGTTTTTGAAGCTGGACTCTGAAGCTGGCTCTGGACCTAATTCACCTGTTCAGCTCACCTGCCTTTCTCAGCATAACCTGCCTCTTTCCTCTTTACCTTCCTGCTGCAGATTTGCTGGTACCAGGGGCAATATAAAGATGCTTGGCAAGGTGGATCCTCCTAACAGAGGGTCCATGTTGTGCTTGGCCCCTGAAACTCTTCCCCTACCGGCTTGTGGGTGGGGCTTGCCCCGCCCCAGGCCGGTGTTGCCACAGTTATGCTACCAGCCTTTAGCCAATTGGCATCGTGGCAAAGGTTGGGGGTTGGGAGTATCTATTTGGCAGCACGATGTAGGGACCTCCTTTTGCTTCATGCTGCCGAACACCCGCTCACCCACCCGTTAATTAGGTCGTGTTTGGCCTTGCTTTGGACTTTGGTTGGTCACCTCTTTGGGAATGGGGGCCGAGTAGGAATTTTTCCCAATGTGGCAGATTGTCTGTGGCCACTTGGCTTTTGCCTACCTCTTAGCAATCATCACAACTTTGTAAGGTTTGGCGGTTAGTCATTGGTTTAGGGGAATGTGGGGAGGGGAGGTGCGGCCACCACCTGCCCCTCCAATGAATAGGGTATTCTGTTAAAGGAATCCGGGGGTCTGGATCTCAGCCGGAGAGGGGCTAGGTCCATGCCAGGACCCCTGGGAACCCCAGGGGTGGGCACCAGTCAATATACACTGACGGAGATCTCCCTGCTGGTTGTTACCCTTACAGGCTTCCTGCAGGGTGGGGCAGGAGCCAGATATAGTTTTGATACCAATGCCTAAGTCAATACCAGTCACATTTGTGTATTCAATAAAGTTGTGGCCAAAATTTGCCCATTAACATTTAAACTAAATTCTGTCTCCACTGTGTCTTTATTTCCATGAGGGATGGGTTTTGGGGCTCGGAGCACAAGTTCTGTGGGAATGTTCAAGGAGGCAGAATAGGCTATATTGTTTATTAATATCCTTTCTAACTAGCGCTAGCAAGTTCCTTTACTTAGCAGAGTTTTACATTCCCCTTTTAAATGCCCAGCGGATAGCTGTCTGCAGGCTTGTTTAAGCCTCTCAATATGAGGTTCCTGGTGAGTTCCTTATATCCCTCTTAAAAGAATAAAAATGTCACAATCTTGTTTAAAGTATATAAAATAAGTTTACTCACATCATCAGTTTACAATTGGATCCCTGAAGGCAGACTTAGTTACAAAGTATATGCATGTGGATCTATCCCAAAAGGGGATAATCCCAGTGTCCTCTGTTGGCTAAAAGCCAACAGAGCATTTCTAACTAAAAAGCTGCTCCAATGATGGAGGAAGTCAAAGAGAGAGAGAGAGAGAGAGAGGCAGCATGCCTTGTCCTTTTGTTACCTGGACAGGTAAGGTCACGCCCACCTCTAGTCACATGCAAAGGAAGTTTGTCCCAGCCAGGAGTAAACAGTAAGTTTCCAACTGGCTGGACCAAGCATTCCCCTGCATGTCTACTCTAGGAAAACAAGGCATGTTGTACTTGACTGCTACTTATGTATCATATCCCACAAGTACAACCCACATTTACCTAGTGGAACATGCTCATTTCACTTCAAGTAACAGAAGCAGCAGATCCTCTACAGCAGCTGCACTTATTTTCTGTGGCCACAGTGATCAAGGGTCATTCTTCTAAACTGAAAACATTGTGAAGCATCACATTTCCTTGTTGCTTTTCTTGCTTGTGGAGGAGATAACATCTTAGGAGGACTACTGCTTTCATCAAGGATCTTTGGTTTTTCAAAGCTCTTGATAAATATGCAGAAAAGCTCAAGTCTTGAAACAAGGTTTGTTTTGTTTTGCCAACTATGTTTTGCAACGTGATTTGATAAATCGCGCTAAGCTTCTTCCAAGAAGGTTATTAAGAATCTAAAAACATATATTCATCCATTAGTTTGCTCTGTCTTCTGAAGTAGATGAATAGATCAAAAGCATATTTGAAAATGGCCAATCACACCCAAAGTGAGTCAGTGTGGCCTCATGGTTATTGTATTGAACTGGGGAGACAGAGGGTCACTTCCAAGCCACCAATTGAGCATTCATCCTAATTTGTTTGCAGGGTGACTAAACATTACTCTTTACTAAACACTCATTTTTATTTGTTTGTAGGGAAGTCAGATGTAGCAGTCTGGATTCAAGGCCTTGGGCAAATGCCTGTCCTAATGCTCCTCATAGCTATGTTGTGAGATAGCCTGGGATGGAAGTGGCGCTGTGGTCTAAACCACTGAGCCTCTTGGGCTTGCCGATCAGCAGGTTGATGGTTCGAATCCACACAACAGGGTGAGCTCCTGTTGCTCTGTCCCAGCTCCTGCCTGCCTAGCAGTTCGAAAGCACACCAGCGCAAGCAGATAAATAGGTACCACTGTGGCGGCAGAGTAAACGGGGTTTCCGTGCGCTCTGGTTTCCATCACAGTGTTCCACTGTGCCAGAAGTGGTTTAGTCATGCTGGCCTTGTGACCCGGAAAGCTGTCTGTGGACAAATGCCTGCTCCCTCAGCCTGAAAGTGAGATGAGCACCGCAACCCCATAGTCACCTTTGACTGGACTTAACTGTCCAGGGGTCCTTTACCTTTACCTTAGTCCCATCTATTTTGCTGCCAACATCTTGAAAATAAGGGTGATACAAGCTTGGCAATGGGAAACCAACCTTAAAATTAGCTAGTCTAATTTTGACATAGTGCTGCCCTAATCAGAGGTATTGCTTATTGCAAAGTTGTAAATGCTTTCATGCTTCAGCCAGTTGTAATTCTTCGTAGAGAAGCATAAGTCACAACCTCCTATTCAGCATGAAGAGGTGATGTGAATTCAAATGTCTTGGATCAATATTGGAAAGCCTTTAACTAGCTCTAATGTGAGCCCGGGGCTGGCTCCAGAAGCTGTGTAACTTCCAGAGCTCTCTTCTGGAATGTGTGAAGTAAAAGTAAAAGCAATAGTGTGCCTGAGCATGTGCAGACATAAAGGCATTTTTGAATGTTACCCCAGTAGTTTGAGAGCTATGATTCCATGAGGTGCCTGTTTCTAGAGCAAGAACTCATGTGATCAGCTACAGAGTAACTGCTCATAGAAAAGCAAAAAGTGTCCACACAGATCAGATGCTCATGCCACAGTGTTCAGAGGGATCTACCATTCCATAAGGACTGTGAAACAGATTGATATATGCATCTCCATCTATTCTTTGGGCTACCATAGTTATTGTCTGCCCATTATTAACACAACAACTATCTCTGGAATAGTGCCACACTTCTGTTGCTGATATTTCCATTTTAGTAAATGGCAACTTCACACACACACACACACCCCACCAATATGAATTATTTTTGATCTTCAGAGATCTTATTTTGAGTACTGTCACATAAATATTGGAATGCGCACTTGACAAAATCAGGAAAATGTCACAAATAAAAGGGCAAAAATAAACTGACAGCAAACAGCAGTCATTAAGGCATAATGACTTTGATTAATACATTGGTTGTTAAGTGGCTAGTAAAAAGATTAGCTCGCGTATTTCCTGCCCAACAGATACTTAAAGTAATTGCATTTTTGCAAACTGCATTATCATCACTTTATGTGCTTTATGATGTCATAGGTACAGCAATGCGGGTTATGTAACACTCAGCAGTTTTTCCTAACCCTGTCTTCTCACTTTTCTTTTCTTTTTTAAGGACTGGTCTTCAGCCAACTCCAGGCATTCTGAACTACTGCATTGCAAACAGCTATTGTTGCCAATAATTCAATATGAACACAAAAGCATAATGTGTTTCCCTATCACTTCTTATAGCACTACCACCATGAGAAAAATTGCTACAGGGTCAATTACGAGGATATGAGATAAGACATGGTAGAATGTAAAAATGCTGCAAGCTACCATGAAGTATCATGAGTTAGCAGAGATAAGAGAACAGAATAGAATAATTTTGCTCTGCTGAGGGATAAGGAGCATGCAGTTCTCAGGAGCTCATTTATGAAGCCCACAGATCAAATCCTTTTCATCTCCACCATTCTATCATTTTGACATTATTACCAGTGTGTCTTTTTTTGTTTGTTGTGGTTTTTTTGAGAAATACTTATAGCCCTTGCAGTTGCAGAGAGTTTTGAATAAATAGTGGGAGAAATGTCCATCATATTTGCTGATAACAACCAAGCTGCCCGTCACTTTTCAATCTTATTGACAAAAGGTGAATTGGGGGAGCTAATTCATGGTGAGAAGAGAAAATGGCACTATTACACATCAGAAGTGCACTGAAAATAATTGGTGCCAATGTGCCTATTATGTGATCTTGGCCTAACTTGCAGAGATGGCATTTGATTGCAGTTACCTTGTTAGTCCTGGAGTCACACCTGTTGAACACGATTAGACACCTTTCCAGTGATTTTATGGAGCATTCATTTAGACCCAACAAAGATTATGTCCGCTGTGACCAGGGATGGGAAAATATATCCATTTCATTATTATTGATTATTGAGTGTTATTAGTGTAATTATTGAGTGTTTTAGTGTGAATTTCTCCTAATATGCAATTTTGCCTGTTATAAACATTTTTTGCAATCCAATTTCCCCTAATATAATGTATTATTGTGTGTTACTTTCACAAATATATACCGGTACATGAAGTTTATGCACCCTAGTACAGTGGTACCTTGGGTTACATACGCCTCAGGTTACAGACTCCGCTAACCCAGAAATAGTACCTTGGGCTAAGAACTTTGCTTCAGGATGAGAACAGAAATCGTGTTCCAGGAGTGCGGCGGCAGCAGCAGGCCCCATTAGCTAAAGTGGTGCTTCAGGTTAAGAACAGTTTCAGGTTAAAAACGGACCTCTGGAACGAATTAAGTACTTAACCCGAGGTACCACTGTATATGCATCTGTGTACATGTTACTTGGTTTGGAGAACTGCCCTCCACAGTTTGGGGAAGAGCAAATTCTAAAGGATGGCTCTATTTTGGTTCACATACTTCTTCAGCAAATACAGAAGAGGTGGGTTTGCCCTTAAATGGCAACTGAGTCAAAATTCTCCCCCACCCCTACTGTGGCCTACAGTTCAACCCTGACTAGTATTCATAAGTCCATGGAACTAGTTCCCTGAACCCAAGGGGGCTTTACACACATACCGCAACAGCTGTCACCTCTCCCATTATGTTTCATAATACACTGTTGTTGTTTTTTGAGAGGCATCTCAAAATTAGTCTGTGATGCAGCAATGAGGAGGGAGTCAACTGTTCAAAATAAAAATAAAAATCATTTGACTGCACATAAACCCTCAGACAAAACTTCAAGTAGCTCTGCTTTCAATATGGCTTGGAAATCCCCAGTCTTCCACAGCAAAGAGCCAGTCTCATTCAACATAGAGATGCTTACGTCTGAGTAAACAGGCTTAAGACTACACCATTAGGAATACTGGTGTATATGTGGAACAAGCTACAACAGTGGTTTATAGACAGGTTGACAGTAATAATTCAAGAGACTTCCAAAGGAGGATTTATTCCAAAACAAATTGGGCCTAATCAACCTTTTCCTGTGCACCTGGAAGTCTTCTTCTGTGATTGGCACCTCCTCATTTGGTCTTCCTGCACACGTACAGCAAATAAGTCCATTAAATAGGCAGGTCTAATCCCATTAAAATTAACAGGCTTAAGGTGCTTAACTTTGTTTGGAATTTGGTTGCATGGTGTAGTTTTGAGAACACAACTTCTTTCTATTGTGTACATTCTTGTTATAGACTATGATTTTGTACATTGTGCTGCTGTTAAGTTTATCCCAGAGAGAGACCCCAGAAGCAGAAATCAATTTTATCTTAATGTTTAAAAAGATCTGGAAAACGTTATTGTGTATGTGTGTGTGTGTGTATATATATATATATATATATATATATATATATATATACAGAGAGAGAGAGAGAGAGAAAGAGTCTGCTGCCGAAAAGGCATAAGAATTGGCACCAGGTAACCTTTGCAGAGGAGAGTGATCCATAAGTGAGGCATTACAGCTGAAAAGGCTTTTTTCCCTGAGAGACACCTATCTAACCTCTAATAGCAGCATCATCCCGAAAAGGTCGATTTACTCTGATGTTAACACAGGAAATATGAGAGGAAGAGGACCCTGAGGTCCCAAGGCTTATCAGTGTTAGAAACTTGAAGGAGCGTCTCCACCTCCATCGTTCTGCCCGGACACTGAGGTCCAGCGCCGAGGGCCTTCTGGCGGTTCCCTCGCTACGAGAAGCCAAGTTACAGGGAACCAGGCAGAGGGCCTTCTTGGTAGAGGCACCCTCCCTGTGGAACGCCCTCCCACCAGATGTCAAAGAGAACAATAACTATCAAACTTTTAGAAGACATCTGAAGGCAGCCCTGTTTAGGGAAGCTTTTAATGTTTAATAGGTTATTGCATTTTAGTGTTCTGTTGGAAGCCGCCCAGAGTGGCTGGGGTATAAATAATAAATTATTATTATTATATTATTATTGTTATTATTATTATTATTATTATTATTATTAACTCAAATATATCAGCTAATCACCAAATGGCACCTTAAACCTGGGTCACGGTCACTACAATGGCATATCTAGGCATCTTTTCTTTTTTGCCGTGAAATTTATTTGTTGTTTAGTCATTTAGTCGTGTCTGACTCTTCGTGATCCCATGGACCAGAGCACGCCAGGCACTCCTGTCTTCCACTTTCTCCCGCAGTTTGGTCAGACTTATGTTTGTAGCTTCGAGAACACTGTCCAACCATCTCATCCTCTGTCGTCCCCTTCTCCTTGTGCCCTCAACCTTTCCCAACATCAGGGTCTTTTCCAGGGAGTCTTCTGTTCTCATGAGGTGGCCAAAGTATTGGAGCCTCAGCTTCAGGATCTGTCCTTCCAGTGAGCACTCAGGGCTGATTTCCTTCAGAATGGAGAGGTTTGATCTTCTTGCAGTCCATGGGACTCTCAAGAGTCTCCTCCAACGCCATAATTCAAAAGCATCAATTCTTTGGCGATCAGCCTTCTTTATGGTCCAGCTCTCACTTCCATATATCACTACTGGGAAAACCATAGCTATTGTTTTCCCAGTGAAATTTATTATTATTATTATTCATTTCATTACTATAGCACTTTATATTTTAAAGAAAGAGGCTCAAAGTGGTTTGCAACACATTAAAACATCAAATGAAACAATCCAGAATAAAACAAATTCAAGCTTCAAGCAAAATACTTCAGATCCTTCTCTGGGTGACATATTTGCTTTTCCCATACTTATTTACCTACTTAATTTAGGTTGCTGCCCCATAGCAGAAATACTATAGGAAGCCAGTGTGGTGTAGTGGTTAGAGTGTCGGACTAGGACCTGGGAGATCAGGGTTCAAATCCCCACTCAGTCATGAAGCTCACTGGGTGACCTTGGGCCAGTCACAGCCTCTTAACTTACGTCACAGGGTTGTTCTCAGGATTAACTGAGGAGGGTGGTGAACCATGTACCGTACTCCTTGGAGAAAAAGGTGGGATATAAATGCAGTAAATAAGCTCTTCTGCTTACCGGCTTAAGAAAGTTGGAGGGGCCAGCCAGATGGAGATGTCAGTCACCAACTTGGCATCCACATAGTCACAGTTGGACCCATGCCAGTCTCAAAACGCGCCTGGCGCCTGGGGGATTTCAAACACTGCTTATCAGGCTTTAAATTGCTCTTAGAATTTGGGGCTGATCGACAACAAAGCTGTTTCAGAACCAGCAAGATGTGTTACCTATAGCTCATCTCAGTTAGTCTAACAACAGCATTCATAAATTTTCAAAAAGTTTCAAAGGCAGCTCTGCATACAACATATCGCCATAATCTATTCAGGTAATCACCAAAGTAAGGATGACTGTGGCTTATCTCTGCTTCAAAGGGACCACAGCTGGTATACCAGCCTTAGCTAATGGGAAATGTTTTGGGCTTCTTAAGCCACGTAGGCCTCTGGTGACAAAGCTGGGTCAATCAACACCCACCAAACTGCAAATATGATCCTCTTATAGGGTGCGATCCTCCCAGAATGAGTTGAACCCAAGCCAGACAAACTATCCAGCAACATCAGCTCCATCATATCTAAATTGAGCTTATTTCCCTCGCCCTCATCCATGCCATCCCAAATCCCAGGCATCAATATTTTGCACTTCTAAAGCTTCACTTGAATAAGATAGGAACACGAAGTAGAGCTCCATGTTACCAATGTATTGAATGCCCCTCTCTCCAAATCCCATGATCATTTCTCTCCATCAGATACTCTCACTCTCGCATTTGTCCTGGGTTGTTACAGGCAATGGACACCTCCTGAGTGTCAGCATTTTGTGGAATGGAGTCAAACCATACCAGAAATTTAGGTTTGTGCAATTAAAGTGGATCAAAGCACTCTGTTACCCTGGCACAACAAATCTACACTGAAAAGTGTTGGATGAACAAACAGCTCATGGGAAGATGTATAAACATCATGCAAACAAATCAGGATGAATTTTGAAAGAATGCTCATGGTCATATAACATCACCACAAACAAATCTGAACAAATGCTCAACAAAGACAAGACATAGTCTAACTGCAGCACAAGCTTTCTGCAAGCAAATCAGGTTAGATACTTCATAAACAGGTTATCTGAAGACACCAGAGGATTCAGCACCCAAAAGTATCTCAAGGTCTTCATCCATAGGTTGCACTTCACTCCTGAAATGCTCTACACCAAGACTACAGTTGTTGCACCTCCTGTACAATTAATTCACTAAAGTCCACTCTGCTTTTCTTCCCCTTGTGTTCTGGTAGAAAAGAGGTGAGTGGACAAAGAGACTAGTGCAGTACTTTGAAGAAGTTGCCTAATACTTTAGAACTTTTAAAGGGGTGGCCACTGTCTTCAGGTAAAGACTTTGCAACCTGGAGATGGTACAGATCTCTTTTAACAGTTCTGCCTGGCATCTGAATGGACAGTGTTATCTCCTATGATTTGATTAATGTTCCATTTGTATAGTGGCTTCCAGGCAGAAAGCTCAGAAGGAACGGCATGAATTAATCTCCTGTTTGCTACATGCAACTCCCTCCCCTCAACTATTATCACAATCCAGATTTTGAGGGGCCCTCGGATAAGATGCCTTCAACACTTCCCCATTCCTGCATGGACTTGCTTCCTTGTGACTGCTGTCACTGATTTCCTCTCCCTGAGACCATCTCCACCATTGCCCAAAAGGGCAATATTTCTACTTGTTGTTGCCACTGAATGAACAAGAAACAACAGCCAGATAAGCAGAGACAGGGGATGGGGGAATCTGCAGTGGTCCCCATAACTGTGGTGGCAGCCTTGACAAGTTCCTGACACTGACACCCCCTGGTGTCTACATAGCACCTTAAGGTTGGTGCTGCATGTGATCAGTAGCTGAAAAGGATTAGAACTGGTTCTAGGTTACATGAACTATTTAAGCCATTCCTAAGAGATTCCCTGGAATGTTTTTCTTTTCATTTCATTTTAAAAGTGGTGTGTCCAATGACGAGGGGTCTAAAGGTTCCTGCTTCTTGTGCTCATGTTTCATGAATCTATTCTAATTATTGAAAACTGGAGCATAACTATCACCTTATCCAATTTCTAGTCCCTTGCTTCCTGCCTGACCTTTCAGGAAACCATTGGAATTGGGCTGAAATGTACCCTATAGAACACACTCAGGTAATAATATGTACAGGTCCATCTAGAAAATAGGCACACACTGAATCTGCACCGGGGAAAGTTAGCTCTAATCTATCAAAGCTCCTTGCATAGTAAGTTTGTTGACCTTAAAGATACAACTGGATTCTTTATTGCTTATGTACACTGTATCTTTATGTGCAGGACACACAGGGCAGGTTCCAGCTCCTCCACCACTTGCATGCAATGAATGGATAGGCACAGTATATTTCTCATATTTATGACATATTTCACATATTTATGGCAAATATATAAGGAAGGAAGGAACTTTGCGCCGCAGTTGAAAAACTTTGTATGTTAATCAATATTTTCTTTTAAAATTCCTTAAGGAGCTTTTCAATATATGAAGATGGCTTCCTAATTATAAAGAATTGAGCAGTTCAGCAAATTCCCTGTGAAGTTATTTCCTTGGAAAGAAATATTCAAGGCAAGACAATCGTATCATAGAATGGGAACCCAATGGTCATCCAGTCCAACCCTCTGCAGAATGGGATCATCTGAGGAAGCTGTAGGATTTTCCAATACTGATTCATGTCAAAGTTCAGTAGAAGTACGAGCTCAGAAGTTTAGGACACCACCCATATACCCCTTCCACCCACTACTCAGGGTGGAAGTCTACATCTGGTAGCACACATGGTTCTTCAGAGGTATTCTTGCACTGATATCTTTCCTGCCACACAAATCCCTATCCACAAACATGAATGTGGATTTCGGTGGTTACTGCAGACAAGCAGGAACTGAGAAAGTTGTCAGGTGTGATGGGCATCTCTTTCACATCACTCTTTATCTGGCATTTGAGCCCCCATCCTGCTTCTCCGTATTTGATCCTCTATCCTGCTTCTCAGTCTCTGAACTTTTTAAAAATGAGGGACAAATAGACTCTCTATAAATGGAGGACAGATCAGAGCAAAACCTTTTGACTTAGGAGACACAATATAAGGGACATCAAACTTTCCACCCCCATATTTAAAGATATGAATTGGGGATCTCATCTTTGGAGTTTCCAGGATTGAGGCTGTGATCTTTCTGCAAAGTCAAATCATCAACTTGGGACAAAAATCGAGCCTTTTTTTACTCGCCAGGAAACAGCTCGTCCCTAGTGCCAGTGACACAATGCCAAGGCTGCGTTCCATGAGTTCCCTTTGCCTCACTGAATCAATAGAGCGCCACCCGCTTGAAAGTAAGAGGATCCCCGCCAGAAAGAGCCACCTTTCTGTTTGGGAATCTCTAACCACTGTTCAATGATCAAGTTGAAAAGCAATGAAAGGGGGAAGTGGAAGGATTGCGCCCGAATACCCGGAGCACTTCGGGGGTCTTTATACAGCAAAGAAAGGGCCCTGCAGAGGTTGTTGCGCTCCAATTCCCAACAGTCCCAGGCAGCATGGTCAATGGTCAGGACTGATGGGAGTGTGGAGTCCAGAAACATCTGGAGGGGGTCCCAGCTCTCTCGCTGCTCTCCCCCAAATAAGAAACCAGGTTCCTCATCCCTCCCTTCAACTCACCACTCAGGACTCGCAGCGAGAGGCAACTCTGAGCCCACAGCCAACAGTAGCCCAGCAGCAGCAGCTGGGGACGCCTTCCGCACGGAAAAGGGAGCATCGCAGCGGCCGAGGGAAGAGGCGCTGGGCGTCTGAACAAAGTCCCCGAAGTGACAGCAGCAGCAGGTCAGGCAGGCAGGCACCCTCAGCGCCTGCGCAACGGCCGGTCCTCCGCGGGTAAGGTGCTCCAAAGCGGGTCCCTTCAAAGCGCCAAGCAACTGCAGGAGCAGCAGCCGCCTTGAGGAGATCCCTGAGAGCCAGCTGTTGCCCTGCCCGCTGCCGCTGCGCGCATCTCCGTGCGCCAAGGAAGCGCGCGCGTTTTTGCAGGACCCCTTTGGGCGAGAAGGAGAAGCGTCTTGTCCAAGGGAGGAGGAGGAGAAGCAGCAGGAGCAGGAAGCACTGCAAGGTCTCCCTTCTCCTCGCCTTGGCCTGCCTGCGCCAGGAGACGCTGGACGCGCAGGGAGAAAGAAGGCGCAAGCTGCTGGCTCCTGGTTATATAGCGGCTCCGGCCAGCCTCCCGGAGCCTCCGCGTTGGGCAGGGCCAGCCCAGCGACTATCGATTTCTGGTGCGAAATGCAGCGCTGCAGCTTGGGAGGGGGCCGAGCGCGAGGCCGGGGGCTGGGCTGGGGGGCGGGGGTCCTGAAAGCCGCGGATTCAGCAGCCCCCTCCTCAAGGCAGAGGGCTTTCCAGAGCCGCAGAGGCGATTAAAAGAGGGCGACGGTGCCAAATCGCGAAAGGAGCGGGTGGCCTCCCTGTCTTTCTGCCACCGCGCAGAAGATGGTAAGGGGCGGCTGCCTCCACCCCCCCCGCCCCGCCCCAACAACCCCTCTCTGGGAAATCAGCGTGACTTTCTGGCTTTATTCTGCCTGCTCTTTGGGCTTCCTTGTCGCTTTAGCGCACAGTCGAGGCGCCACTTCTGCAATCCGCGCTGCAGCCAGGCAAGATTGGGTGGTGGTGGTGAGGGAGAATATTTCTGGGCATATACAGAGCGCCTTCCCCATATTACTGGAGGTAGCAGCACCCATCTCTATAAGATCAGAGGGGAGACGGAGCTTTGGCATCGCCTTGCCTTTAGGCTGCCATTTGTGGATTACATGGATCCAAGAAAGCTCTTTGCTGGGCCAGCTGAAAGGCGTCTATAAATGAACCCTAAGCAGTCTAAAGGCTCAAGACCAGGATCGACCCTACCCGTCGTTTTGCTGCTAAAGCAAAATGGGAAAATGCTGCTTCACCCGCACCCTGCTCCAAAGTCGGTGTCACTCAGCTTTTGGGTTCTGGCGAGGTCGCTTTTCCTAACTTATCTGGTGACAGGGGGTGGGAAGTGCCCGCGGTGGCACCAGAGAAGCACAGGCATGTCCTCCACCCGCCCACGCTAGAGAAGTGAGGAAAAGGGGCGGCAGCAGTGACTTCCAGGTTCCAGCAAAATCTCCCTGGGAGCCAGGAGCCAGATGCACCAAGTTCTGCCCCAGGTTGGGGGCGGTGGCGGGCAGCAATGCTGGGTTATGCAACTATTTTCTTCAGTGGTGAAGAATCCTTGCGGCTCTAACAGGATCAGCTTTGTAGGCCAAATTCAACAGGTGGATGGGCATGTTTGCCTGTCAATCACATGGTGCCATTATGACTTCACATGACTAAGGGATAGGTTGAACCACCCACCCACCCATGAGCATAGCCCAAAGGGGCAGCAGGGGGGAAGCTGCCCCCTAAATCATTGAATAAAAATACAGAACTAACTGAGGTTCTGCCTCCCACAACATAAAGCCTATCTACGCCCATGCACCCACCTGTCAAAATCCATGGCACAGTTCTCAAGCACCCACTGCTGCTGTGGGAGACCCAAGAAAGTGAGACATTGGAGGGTTGGCATGGGGCACCTTCCCCCCAAAACCCCCTCCTTGAGCTAGACATGCTCCTATCACCCCAGACGTTCCTCCTTTCGTTCACCCATGAGTTGATGGGCAGTTGGAAGCATGCCTAGTTCCAGCAAATGAGCCACTGGAATCCCATTTCAAGCTCCAGATTGTTCCTTTTAAGCCCCACCCTTAATCCCCCACACCTGGCATCATGGATGACATTAGCTTTGTTTGCCAAATGGGGAGGACTGGTGGACCAAGTCTGGCCCACAAGGTGGAGGTTCCTCACCCCTGATTTTCTCCAACAGCACAGTGCCACTCCCCCATTCCTAGCACCTGTCACCTGAAGCGCCTGCCTCAGTCAGCCTAATGGTAGGGCAAGGAAGGACCAAAGCTAAGGGCTACTTCTTATGCAGTGCTTTGCACTGAGACCGGCACAAATACTCAAAGCACACTTCAAAATATATGTAGACCAAAGTCATGTGCAAAGAACACACAAGGAGAAACCCAGGCTTTCCCTATCAAACTACTATTGCCCAGTCACCACTTGTGTGTATTTGAAGGGGAAATGCATCTGTTTAAATATTTTATTTATTTATTTCATTTCATAAAGTTTATACACTGCTTAATCTTTTTTTTATTATTTTAAAAAAACCCCTCAAAGCAGTTTACAAAAAGATGAAACAAAATCAAGGGGGGGGGATACAATAATGATTTTAAACATATAAAAAGTTAAAATACTAAAAGAGGTTATGATTCACAGCAACTTTCTGAGCATCTGGGTGTATGCCCTTCATCCTGAGGCAATGCATTTGGGAGCTTTTTGTATTCAGGGATCTCTGCACAAAAGCACAAAACGTCTCACAAGAGGTGTCTCTGTAATGCAGTTCTAAGTGCTTATTTCTGGGATTTACTTCCAAGCAATGCTATAATAATTTAGAAATGGAATCAAGTCACTTGTGTGCAGAGTCACTTTTGTACTTGCGGGCAGAGGGTGATCACTGGGTTTGGACCCATATAGTGGAAAGATATTGGTAAGTGGAACTTACCTACTGCCAACCAGAGAAAAGACTGGAGCTCAGTGTTATCATGGTGCTCCCTCAGCTGTAGAAGAAATACACAGAAAAAAAGCCTCATTTGTTAATGGGACTGTGGATAATGACTGCCCCCCCTGAATTTCCCACAATCCTGGGAATCTGCAGTTCTGACTCATTTAAACTTCAGATGCTTTTCCATCTCAAATGCATATTAACATAGCCTCCTACTACAAGACTTTAAAAAAAATGGATTAAATGCTAGCTTGCTCTTTATGGTTCCATGGGTAGATTGAGATAATGAAACAGCTGCCTTTTTTATGAACAGCCACAGAGAACCAACAGGACTAATCTAATAGTTTGGGGACCAGAATCTTTATTAAGCTCATTGCCATATCTGAAGTTCTCACTGATGCACAGGATGGTGCTTTCAAGACAAACCAAGAAGCCAACCAAGTAATTAAAAAGAAGCTACTAAAGGTCCCTGGTTGGCACTCATTGCATGATTAACAATCAAGAAACAATGCACTAGTTTAGACTTTATTTTCCCCAGTGCAGGCCCCACAAAAGACCTTTTCTTGATGGCAACTTGGAAGAGCAGTGTAAGCAGCCTGTATCTTATGCCTGCTTACCTACAAGTAATTGTTACTGTGTTCAGTGGGCATTATTGACTCTCTAGTGCAGGCAGAGGCAAACTCGGCCCTCCAGATGTTTTGGGACTACAAATCCCATCATCCCTAGCTAACAGGACCAGTGGTCAGGGATGGTGGGAGTTGTAGTCCCAAAACATCTGGAGAGCCAGGTTTGCCTATGCCTGCTCTAGTGAACCTTCCTTAGGAATGTAACCATGAGCCATCTGTATGCTGCCTGCAGAAGTTAAGAGTACTGCTGGATTAGACTAAAGTCCATCTCTGGTCCAAAATCCCCTACAGAAGACCACAAGCAGGAGAGAAAGGCAACAGCCCTCTACCATGAAGGAACTGGCACTACTACAGGTGCCTCATAATACCTGCTCCACATTTAGTGTGGCAGTGCCTAAACTTTGGAACTCCCCGCCTCTTGACACAAGCAAGTGCCTTCCATTTAGTCTTTTCAGCACCTGCTAAAAACATCCCTGTTTAGACAAACCTGCTCAGATGCTTAGCATGTTGAGGTAATTTTAATCTGTTTCAGCATTATAACATTATTCAAAAAATGTCACACAAGGAAAATTATGTGGCTGAGCCAATCCCAGTGCCTTTTGACACACAATAATAAAATCTGTATCCCGGTTCGCCTTGCTTATGAATTAAATGAAGTGGTACATTGAATGGAATGTCCATTTTCAATCTTAAAATGGCTGTCCTCCCGTCTGCATTAATAAGTTATGCACCATATATGAAAACAGTACTCACAAAAACCTGGCATCTTTGCTAATACTTCAAAATACTGCACTTCTATTGGGAATACTCTAATTTATAATAGATCTCATGAGTTATGGAATTTGATTCTTAAATAATCTATATAATAGCATATCTATATCTATGTCTAGACCTAGCTTTAATATCAAATGCAAATTGTGGTTTTCAAGATCCAGCACAGAGATTTTAATCCTTAATAGTTTAATATTTAATAGCTGAACAGATGGATTCTCAAAGTCACTGAACAGCCTCCTTCATTTATCCACAGGGCATACAACATTTTGAAAAGTCCCCATTGCTTGCTTGTATTTATTGCACATCACTTCACACATTTGTAGGTGGAGAGGCATTAACTCTATACATGCTGGTGTCAGATAAGTTCTGTTCATTCAAATTCTATTTCTGGCTGTTGTGACATCTAAGGATATTTTATATTTCATGTCAATGTTTTATACCTAATAATCATCTATACTTGGTAGTTAACATTTTAAATAGCTCACTTGAGGTTTATTCAGTATCTGACACCTGACATCAATAGCCTTTTGTGAATGCGGTCTTTAGTGCTAATTTTGCAACACAATCCTAACCATGTCTACTCAGAGGTAAGCCCTATTCAATTCAGTGGGGCTTACTCTCAGGCAAGCAGGGTTATGACTGCAGACTTACAGCACAAATTTAACCTTGTCTACTCAGACGTAAATTCTATTGAATTCAATAGAGAGTACTTCCAAGTACTTAGAGTTGGGATTGCAGCCTAAGCGATTCATTTAGCTATTTGGGAAACATTCCTTTACAGAGCAACCCTATGCATGTCAAATCAGAAATAAGTCTCCTCCTTAGGTGTAAGTTATGTCTACAGGACTGCAACCTTAAAGAGATAACAAAAATAGTAATATTTTGAGATAAAAAAATTGATTTAGGTAAAGTCAAACTGGAAATTTTAAGGATATTTAATTTCAGCTCTAGCTTGCAGTCCTGTGAATCTTAACCTTATCTGATGTTTCCTTTTAATAGTATTGAAAGTCAAGACTAGAAGAGAATCTCTGGAACAATGTTTCCCTTTTTTAAAGGGAAATTCCCTTATTCCGAATAGGATTCCTCACAAGAAAAGGAAAAAGTTGACAGCTATGAGTGGAAATAGTCCCGTAACCTCACAACATCTCCTTCTCATCGCACGTCATGTGGTTTACAGTCAATGTGGAGGTGCAAGGAATCAGTGACGTTCCATTTTACTTTATGCAGGCAAAGAAAAGCCTGAAAACTTGGGATGAAGTAAATGTCTCTCCATGGAAGCTAATTGTTTGAGGAGGAGGATTAAGATGAACCCCATAATGCATTGAAATATCATGTGAACCCTGCCCCTTGTTGCTGACATGTCCACCAGATGTGAAACACTCTGGCTGTATAGCCAGCACGCATGAGCAGGGAGCTATGTGTGTACCTTTACATAAGGGAGGGGAAAATCTGAATGGCTGCAGGATCCTCTCCAATATGGGGACTCACCCATGTCCATCAGTCCACCCATGTTTGGCCTTTTCACTCATGTGTGACTGGTAGAGGGTGTGGTAGACTAGGGTTGGTGGCTGCAACCTCTTCCTGCCTTGATGTCTTGAGGTGTACGTGCTAGTTTGAACATGCCTGATTCCTTGGTACAGAGAACTCTGTGGGATGTTTGGAATGTGAAAGTCATTAGAGCTGGGAGCACATAACAGGTGGAAGCATTTAACTTAAATGGTGCTTCAGTGTATAAGTACTGTATTTGTAAGATCTGTGGGCAGTAGGTTCCTCTTGCGAAAGGAAACGATCAGTTATTACTTCACACAACTGAAATAATTAACCTTGTGGAACAGCTACAAGCCAATAGGAAGGGACAGCAACTCTCAGTAAAGGTATTAGCCTCCCTGTGGCATTTATACCTAGTTGTTTGTATGGGTGAAATTATTATTCTACTTACACTAAAAAGCAACAGCCTAGGTTAAAAGTGGGGTGTTCCGCAGGCACTGTTACTCACATTTCTGTGATGGCTTTTTATGCTACCTGTTATCCTTGTTATTTCAGTCCTGCTTTTCTCTCCCGCCCCACCCTCCATTGTGTTATCATAAGGCTTTCTTATGGAGCCTTAGATCCTATTAGGACTTTTATATTAAATAGTTGAGTACTGAATTTGAAAGTTATGCTTTGAGAGTTTGAGTTTTAATATTTCTGTTCTAGGCAGTGCTATTTTTATAGAAACCATGAACGCCTCCCTTGTTTTCTTATAATGGCAATGGTATTCACCTGAGAGGTACCGAAACTGAGTTCTGGTGAGTTCCAGCTGAAACCAAGCCCTGGTTCTAGTCCTTCTAATTATCCTCATTTTTCTTTTTCAGAATTTGCTCCCACTTGGACAGAAATGGAGGATTCTGACTATATTTCATCAGATGAAGAAGTAAGAATTCTTTCTCCCCTTCCTCCCTCTTGAACCAAGGATTAATGGGTCTCTTTAAGGACTAGAATAGAAGGGGTATCTGGCTAGTGGACTGGGATAGAGGATCTGCTATTAGTATATCCTAATAAGGCAAAAACAGACATTCAGCTATTAAAATTTGCAGCAGTAGCAAAAGCTACTTCTGCTTGCCATGTGCAGGATCCTGTCCAGGAAAAAGATTATCCAACATTAGCAGCTGTAAAAGGAAGTGTAATCATTCACTTGGGATAAAATCATGCTCTAGGTCATCTTCTTTTTTTTACCATCCGTAGGATAAGACAAAAAATGGCACACATTTTCCAAAAAATGTATAATATGATACCAGCTCCTCTTTCCCTCATCAGTTGCACAGTAGTAGCCATTCCATGGAACTGAAGCAGAGGGAGAGAAGGGAAGCAGGGCCACTCCACCAGGTTGCTTCTGTTTTGAGTGATAATTTGATGGTTGGTGTTAAAAGTTAATAAGGACAAATTAGAGGCATTGCAGGGTTCTTGTGATGTGGGAGAAGACTTACAACGTGTTTTGGATAGGGTTATGTTCCCCTGAAGAAGCAGGTATGCATTTTGAAGAGGCACCTGGGCCTGGCAGCAACTGTGACCAGGAACACTTTTCTTCTGCTTTTGCTGGCTAATTTCTCAAATCAGTTTAAAGCAGTATCCTTTTCCTTTAAAGCCATGAGTGCTCATGCAGCAGGTTACCTCAAGGACCATATTCTCCCATTCAAACCTTTCCAAACATTGAGATCAGTGTGTGATGCCCTGCTCTTTGTGTTGTCTTGACATGAGATCAGATGTGCAGGTACAAGAGACAGAGACTTCTTGGTGGTAGCACCAAATCTCTTAAATGCCGTTTCTGTGGAGAGCAACTGGACTCCAATCCTATTTTATTTAAGATTCTTTAAAATTAATCTACTTCTTTAAAGAAAGCCAGGATAATGTGTAAATACAGCACCTTGTAGTCAAGGCTTATCATGAAGTTCTTCTATTCCCATGTTATGCCATCTACTGCCCTGCAGGGCTGACCTTACCACTTCTGAGAACTGATATTGGGTGTCATGAAAGAGCAGCTGATTTTTGGCCCCATGACAGCAAATTGTTTAGTTCATTATGGTGTTTTTACTCCCAGGGAGTTATTCTTCTGGATTTTCCACTTTGGATGCCAAACTTTCCCACCTTTGGGTACTATGCACTTTGACCTGCAGGGGGTGGGCAACAGCTCCTTTTTATTTTGGGTCCTAAAATGTCTCGCCTGGTGCTTGGGAGGAGAGGAATGCCTATGCTGCTCTCCACTTCTCATGGAGTGTGTGCTGGTATCTATGCTCTAGCTCTTGGAACTGGGGTAAATGGAACTTACCTAACTTCTTATTTGTTTTCAGATTTCTACAAAGAAAGAGAGACATTATCGTCTTGGGGAGGATAACCTGGATGATACAATAGAATATGATTATTCTGGCCCTGCCCTAAGATTTGAAAAGTCTAAGCCACTGCAAACAAAGGACAGTTGTTCACTAGCCAATGAGGATACTGGCCATGATGTTGAAGCAAAAACTGTGGAGGCCCCGGACTCAGTGCTAACTACACAGCCTGTCCCTCTGACTCCTGTCCCAGTAACTGAGGGGTGTGTCCTACATTGCAGCCCTCCTAGCCCCTCAATTATTAAGCTGAATAGTGCCATGATTCCAACAACGAAGAACAGCATTGAAGGTTCAGAGGATAAATTGTAGAGATAACAGCCATGTTATATGAGGGGGAGCATTTGGATTCAGCAAATCTTCTGTCTACACATCTTAAGTTTGTTCTTTCTCACACAACTCTGCTTGCGTTCACCCATTTCCTATTTTTCTCTTGCCTCTGAGGGAATTGCAGAATCGGGGTTTAAAGGCACTGTTTGAAAGTACGAGTCAACTACAAAAGTTTTCTGTGGCGTCTTCTGGATGTGAGAATTGGATCTCAGTATGCTTATGGAAACTTATAAGAATACTATTAAGTAAAGCAAAGCAAGCAATTATTGCTTGCTTTATTATTTATTAAATTTATATCCCTCACTTCTTCCCAAAGAAGCCCAGGGCAGCAAACAAGTGCTAAAACAATACAGCCACCTTAACAGGCAGAGGCGCCAGGTTGCCCCCAAGATTGGGGGCCCCCAGTGTGCATTGCACATGGGAAGTCACACACCTCTCCCGAGGCTGAGCAGGCCGGTGCAGCCTTCTGTGATGTTGAACAGGGCCCCATCAACACTGAGGGGGGCAGGCCCCCTTAAGAAAATATTGAGGGGGCTGAAGGTGCCTCGGCTCCCTAGGGTTGCCGCACCTGTTAACAGACAACCATTCCAACACAGTTGCAGAGAGGGAAAGATCTCAAAAGGCTTTCTGGAAGAGGAAGATATTCAATAGGTGCTGAAAAGACAACAGAGATGGTGCCTGTCTAATAGTCAAGGGGAAGGAATTCCAGTGGGGAAGGTGTCACAGCCCTAAAGGCTCAATTCCTGCTTTATGGACCACTCTCCAATTGGGTTATAGACATCTGTCCAGTAGGGATAGATACTGCACGGAACATACTATATTGACTATGGAATTAACTTCCCTAATCTCCACTCTTCTCTTCTGAAAGTTGTTTTATCTAGAAGATGAATTCTTAACTCTAACAATACACGTAGTCTTGCACTGAACCTGAGACTGCACTGCACTGCACTGAGACTGCGCTGCACTGCACTGAACACTTCAACTGAGAAGTTGAAGTGAAGGAAACTATCCACGGCACCTGAAAGGGCATTTTAGGTAGCGTACACACACCTTTTTTCCTCCCCTCAGGTGTTTAGATAAAGCACTCATCCATTACCCTCTTTGAAATTCAGCATTCTTCAATCTTCAAGCAGCACTCAGCCTTAAGTGATTCTTAAGACAGCCTGGAACATGTGTGATTTTTGCTTTGCTCTTTTCAGTAAGATATTGTGGCTGTTGAAACAGATACTAACATTTGTAACTAACCCGAATAAATATTAGTTAAAACAGGTGTCATTTTCCTGTGCCATTATTGGTGTGAAATCAGTCAGTCCCATAGTCAGAGTGAGGAGCAGATTATGATAATAGCTCCCACTCATTGTTCATTCTTAAAAGTTTTTATTAAAATCTGTGAATTATGAGAAAAAACAGAAAATCTTACATATATTAGGGTTGCCATATCTTGAAGAGCAAAAAAAGGAGGCAGCTGGAGCCACTGCCAGCCTGAGCTGGGGAATTATTATTATTAGCAGCCCAAGCCACCCAAGCCTCAGTCTGCACCCGAGCCACCCACCTCTCCACAGGGTCAGGGGAGCTCCCTGAGCAATGTGGGAAAGAAAAGGGGAGAAAATATTAGGATTCAAGCTACTGAACTAAAGAACTACGGTGCCCGTTACAGCACTGCTTTCATACACACTAAAGAAGGATCTATGGGACTGTTGTTCAGTGGCCTTGACAAAACGTCTATTTTTATACCCATAGCCTTCAACTTAGCGTTCAACTTTGGTTAGTTGTAGGCATCCATCTAGATCCCCTGAAATGTGGGAGATGAGACAAATTTGTATTTGAAAGTTCTTTGATGAAATCTTTTTAATGAGCAGACATCTAAAATTCGATATATTTAATATCTTAAGGACATGTTGAATCCAACTTTGGTCATATTTGTTTCCTGCTGCATTTCCTGGGATTCCTGATGTGACAGCTCATGTATTTGCTGCTCCTAAATCTGACATACTGAAGTTCCATATTGCCTTGCACACTGACTAGTCTAATGGAAGAGATCATGGCAGGTTGCTCTTTTGCAGTAAATACTTTGCCTCTACTAGCAAAAGGAAGGAACTACTTGATCATGTAAAGTCTTTATAATGTCCCTTTTGAAATGGGGCCCTTAAAACTGCACACAGTATACTACCTTTTGGCTACGTTTTTAAATTAATCTAAATAATCCTTGTATTAATTTCAGTCTTTTCTCTAATAATTCCATTAAGGTGGTGGTCATGTCTACACTTAATTGGGTGTAAGTCCCACTGAGTGTTGCTGCAATTACTTTCATATGCACATAGGTTTTACTCCACGTTTACATTTTTTCACTACCACTGAACACTGTACGCTTTCAGTGAACTATCATGACTCAGATATCTCTTTCCTCGGCAGTCAAAGCAAATTCAGATCTGATCAGCTCTTGAGGGTTTTAGCTTGGTTCCCCTTAGCATGATTTACTTTGTACTTTGTCTGCATTGATCTTTTCTGGTCCCTTTTTGCTGTTCCACCCAGTTTGCATGACTGGGGGTTATACCTCAAGTGGAAGCCCTGGTCACATGGTCTACACATGGCTAAAACCAATATGAATGGGATGTGGAGACTTACTGAACAGGCCCTTCCATGGAAGTATTTGAACCATGAGCAATTGATTAGGGTTCCAGATCAAGTAGAGCCTGTAGACACCAAGAGTCATTTTCAGATGTTTGTATTATACATTGAAGAACAGTCGTTCAGCATAGCCCTGCTTGCTACACACATGTTGGCATTAACTGTGGGTAAAAATGTCTCAAATCATTTTCTGGAGTACCTATTGTCCAAATCTTATTAATAGCTCCAGTGAAATATAAGGAATCACGCATTCATATGGAAAATCACACTTAGAGCTGCCTGTACGAGCAGTTAGTAACAGGGGCTTTAAAATAGGCTTCAGTTAATTACTGCTATAAGACACAGAGGATTGTACAATCCCTGCTATTACCACAATAAAGTGGTTAACGGATTGTAAAATACCAATAACTCTTGCACTATTTTATAAATCAGCAATGTAAGGAGACATGCTGTCCACTTTCAATGGTTCTGAAAGCTTCCATTCTATTAAATACGCTTTTATGGACTTTAAGTAATAGGCTTTAAAAAAAATCTTTATTTTCTTGACATTTTCTCTGAAGAATTGTTCCGTTTCAAGCCACTAGAATTAAAAAGCTTTCCAAACCAAATGCACCATCTGTAAAATATTGTGGATTTGACAATATGGATGGTTCAAATTCAGGTTTTACTCAGAGTAGACACACTGGTATGAATGGACCTGACTTAATCACATCCATTAATTTCAATGAGCCTACTCTGAGTAAAACTTAGTTGAACACCACCCAGGCAATTTTTCAAGATGCCTAGCTAGCATGGCAGCCCATGGGCTTAGCTGCCTGTAATTTGGCAGGCTTTGCCCATTCTTGGGTCCAGGCTTTGTCCAATTGAAAAACAATTGTCTGAAAGTCCTATTCCTTCCTAGCCAGCCACTTTATAATCCATCTACCCTGCCAGACATATTCAAGAAGGGAAATGGTGACAAGGTCTTCTCCATGAAGGATAATATAATAGTTACCATGTCAGTTTCTACAGCTAGAATGCTCAAAGCCCCTATCTTATTACAGCCAAAGTGACAGAGCCTTACAATAACATCTGGTCTCTGAACATCTTGTCACATGTAATGGGGTACTATTAAGGTTGTGCCACCCTCTTGTTAAGCAAATCAATATGGTAAAGCTGTTTCCATTTCATTGACATTCTTCAACATTTAAGCAGCCACCAATTATATGTTCCTACCATGTCACTAAGGAACTGAAAGCCTCTAGAGTAAGTCAGAAGCAGTTGACATTGTATCAAGCACTTAGGAGCAATAAAGTTGGTATGTAGTGGTGAAATCACTATAATCTATTTTTCATAGTCTGGGAATATTTTAACAAACTGACAGATTGTCAAAGGGTTTCACTCAGGGTCAGGCCACTTGGCCATCTCCCACACAAGGTCCACTGAAATAAATATAGGTTTCTCAAGAGCATTTTTTTGCTGGAATCAGACAAGCAGTTCAAACTTGCTTCAGGTTAACTCAGTGATTATCGAAGATTAGAGAGAGGGGCGGGGGGGGGGAGAGGAAGTTATCAGATAACTTTTCCACTCCAGTTTCAGGGTCTTGGACAAACTCTGCCTCTCTCCACAACCCTCATTATTCCTTACTCCTCCAAAACACTCCAAACCTATATTTCCTTACCTTGAATCAATAGTAGCAGGTGTAACAGTGAATGCACACATAGAGAAGAGACATTTCCCTCTTCTACTTTCTATCACCTTAGCATACTGGCTAAGAACATGCTGTATGATATAGCATTCCCAGGGCTTCTGCAATTTTAATCAGAGCTGGAATAAGAGTTTGGAATAAGCCTCCCAAGTTAATTTCTGAGCCCAGACTTGGAGAGCTTCACTGGTACCTAATTTTTATCTGCATGGGTCATTCTGAGTTTTTTGCTCTCTGTCTGCTAAACTTGCTACCTATGATGTATCATGTTACTAGGCTGCTTTCTGGAAGAACTAATCAGACTTTTCTCAGATAAGAGGCTCAAAGTGGGAATCAGAGGCAGAAATTTTGTTTCCTGAGAGAAGGGATTGAATGTTAAACTGCTCTGAGAATTGTAGTTTGTGAGGGGAATGGGGTCACCTAACATCTCTCAGCACCCTTCTCTGAGAGAAACTATGACTCAGCTTTAAATGTATGGTGTAGCTGAGGCCTTAGCTGGATCCACGCCAAAGACAAGATATTTGAGTTCTCAGTTCTGCAGTAGGTTACTGGGACAGGAGATTAAGACCATATGAGGATTCCTTATTGCTTATTGCTTATATGATTGCCCCATTCCTTATATATTCCTTAGCAATTATCAGATCCATTTTATGGTAAATCCCTTTGGTGA